GTTGTTTACTTGACGTTGGCTTACACTGGCCAAAGCATATCACAACATTGATACTAAGGTACTTGGCCACATTTGCAAGGACGCAAAGCGGTTCGTTGCCTTGATCTTTGATATAAAAAGTATGGTTTATTTTGTGGGGTTACTGCTACTGGCACCATGTGTAGTATATATTTGGCATTTGCCAATTGCTTGTGCGTACTAAGGATCAAATCCCAGATATTGGCATAAGTTTACTGATGAAGACGGTATGCGGTGGCTCAAGGGTGCCTGGGCTCAAACCATGTTAAGGCACCATGGTGCATACCTTATACAGTTCGGTGGCCAAATTTCTTGACCATCTTGGGAATGTTGTTATTCATCTTGACCTGAGGAGTCTGTGAACGTGCCCACCCGCGCGCTCGTCACCAGTGGCTGTTGAGATGCACAAAACTAAGGCTGTTCATATCATTTCACACAGCATTTCGCATGGCTAGTTCAACTATGTTCAACTGATCACGTTTCCATCGATCTCTTTTATTTGGGGGATGCACCCTGCAATTGCAGGCTTCGTTCAATGAAACAGTTTGGAACCCGACGGAAGAACCTTGGACCCATTTGGAACCATCCAGAATCAATCGAAGTCAGTTTTTGACGTGTGTTCAAGGCAATTTCGTTCAAGTTTGTGGCATCCAGCCTGTGATTCACACGTCTTCTCTTAGCCCGCAATGTTTTATCACGTTTTGTCTAAGGACCCGGTGCGAAAGGCGATGACGAACCAAATGTGCAAACGGCTTGGCCCAAACAGTGGGCTGTGGAGCAGAGACTAGACGACGGATGGCCCGAGAGCGTAGAGGAGCAGGGTCTTCTCTTGTTAGTATGGAGACACCATATTACAAAACAATATACTAAAGATGTGTTATAGGCAGTCGAGAAGAGGAGTATCAAGACAATATAGCACAAGTACAAGACAATAGTTTGCATCGCAAACACTTTTACACACAGAAGCTTTTACACACAGACGCTTTTACACACAAAAGCTTTTACACACAGAAGCTTTTACACACAGAAGCTTTTACACACAAAAGCTTTCACACACAGAAGCTTTTACATACAGGCACTTTCACACACAGACGCTTTTACACACAGACGCTTGTACACACGGACGCTTTTACACACAGACGCTTTTACACACAGACGCTTTTCCACTCAAACACTTTTACACACAAGAGCTTTGAGCCACAGAAGCTTTTACACACAGAAGCTTTTACACACAGACGCTTTTACACATAGATGCTTTTACACACAGGCGCTTTTACACACAGAAGCTTTTACACACAGACACTTTTACAACCAAACCCTTTTACACACAGGAGCTTTTACACACAAAAGCTTTTACACACAGACGCTTTTACACACTAACACTTTTCGAAGGAAGTTTGGAAGTCAAACTTCCGACAATATGGAGAGATGAAAAAGCAGTCAGCAGGGAGAAGAGTCAGAAGAGAAAAGATCAGAAGAAAGAAGATGCAGGTGCGCGAAAAGGTAGGAAAGTCGCGAAACACTGTGTTTTTTCGTGGTTTTGTGGCTCCGGAGGGTTGAAAAGTAGGCTCGCTAAAGCGGCGGGTGCGGAGACATCTGGGGAGATGAGAGATGAAAAGTTGCACGCCGTTGTGGCGCGAAGCACATTTGGAAGTAAAATGTGTTAAAAACTGAGGGGTTCGGACCACTTTTGGAAGTTGAGATGTCGAAAAAGTGCACGCCGTTGTGGCGCGAAGCACATTTCCAAGTCAAAATGTACAAAACACCCAGCTCGGACCACTTTTGGAAGTTGAGATGTCGAAAAAGTGCACGCCGTTGTGGCGCGAAGCACATTTCCAAGTCAAAATGTACAAAACACACCATGGTCGGACCACTTTTGGAAGTTGCGATGTCGAAAAAGTGCACGCCGTTGTGGCGCGAAGCACATTTCCAAGTCAAAATGTACAAAACACACCATTCTCGGACCACTTTTGGAGGTTCAGATGTCGAAAAAGTGCACGCCGTTGTGGCGCGAAGCACATTTCCAAGTCAAAATGTACAAAACACCACATGTTCGCGCCACTTTTGGAAGGTTTGAACTTCTTGACCACTTGCCAAAGGAACTTGCGGCCTTCTGCAGTTTTAAGGTCCACATTGATGGTCTTGTCCATGGCCTCGAGAGCGTTCAAATTGAACTTGGGAGCACGGAATGTCAGGTTAGCCGAACCTGCAAACACTTCTAAAAGGTCAATCTTGGGGCCAGTTGCCATTTTCTCCACATAGGTGAGCAGGGCCTCATAGGTCTTTGTCTCAAAGTCGTAAATCTTGGCCGTGCTACGGAGATGGCCTGTCAGCCAGGTTTGATTGCCTTTCTTCAACCTACTTGTTCCCATTCGTACTCCGAGCTCTCCACCTCCTCCACTTCCTCGGTTGGAGTTGATCTCTTCTTGCTTGAGTTCTTTGGTTTGGCTCCTCGTGGCTGTCTTGTCGCAGTTGTCAAGGGTGTTGCTGTGCCCTGCGACGTTGTTTCTGCCGATAACTTCGAGCCAGTCAGGGCCTTCAGACCAGGTGGTCCCGGAGGTGGTGGTGTCGTGGAAGAAGTTGCCATCAGTGCCCAAGCTGGGCGTCGAGCTTTGTCCAGGAAGTTCGAAGCTGTTGAAGATGAAGGCAATGGCAGTGGCTGTCGCTTGGAGGATACCAGGTCTGTCCATCGATCTTCGTCTTCGGACCACTTCCACTTTTTCTCGCACATCAGGCACTTGGCGAAGCTTCCGCTTCGATTCCCATTGCGGTGCATCTTCTCGTGAGCACATGGTTTGGTGGCTTTGTTCAGCAGGGCCTCTTGGAGTTCCATGTCCAACGGGTCTTGGTGTTGGATCCATCTTCGAGGTCGTAGGCCCAGCCGCACTGCTTGCACCATCATGGTGGCCATCCACATCTCGACATGTCGGAATCGGCGAACCATCTGTCGCCAGTTCTGCAGCCATGCTGGTGGTGGTCCCTTGTTCATGGGAATCACGGTGTCGTAGATCGAATTGGTCGCTTGAGCCTTCTGCAGAGAAATAGAGGAGTTCAGGATCATGTTCAGGTTGCAAACACATCTCATGGTATTGTCTCCACATCTGAGAACTGCTTGCCATCTTCGGAAACTTTGAAATATCCAGTGCTAAGTGGCCTGCAATCTGACAGATGGGCACGGTGGTGTTGAGCAACCCGATGAAGGCTTCCTGGCATGGCAATTCAACACCATCTTCAACTTGTTGGTCATGAGATCGCTGCTGGCGAGGAAGGGAATATTGTTAGTAGTTGAAATAACACTTGCACCAATCAGCATCATGTTCTTCTCAATCTCATCAAAACAAACTGGTATTTGAACATGTTCATGACTGTATTGCGTGGGTCCATGTCCAAATTCAAAAGGCTCTCTGTTGGGAATGGTGCGCACTCGAAGCTTGAACTCGGCTAGTGAAGCTTTCTTACCATCCAACCATGCAGTGCTGCAACATGATTTCTGGCATGCTGTTTCCAAAACCATCACTTTGGTGAACTTGGGGTTGAAATTGCCAAAAACTTGATGGGCGTCGGCGATATGATGCGTGACCATGTAAGTGAAAAACGTGCCATAGGTCTTTGCAGTGTCATCTTCGTACTCATCCTCAAAAGTGACTGATCGCCGGCTTCCATCCCCATGCTGCACATGCAAAACCTTTCTCGCAGGGGGCTTGTTCTGAGAGGAGGATCCAGCTGACGTTTTGCCGTAGGCTTTGCCTCGGCTGTTGTCGTTGCCCTTGGAGTCGGCAGTGGCGCTACATTCTGGGTCACCTTTCCAATGACCTTTTTCGCCGCACACTGAGCAGTGCGACTCTTGCTTGCGCTGCTTGATCGTTTTGCCGCCAGTGAACTTGCGGCCCAGTGTCAAGCCTTGCAATCTGCGGGCAGTGACAGTCAGGCAATTGGCTGCTTCTTGAAGTTCATGAAAGACGTCGCCATCTTGGCCGTCTTCATCATCGTCAGCTGCTTGTTGATATTCAGGATCATCTTGTCCTTCAAATGCATCTTCGTCATTTTCATTGGGCCCATCGTTGGCTGCAGGGTCATCCTGCGTGTCATCCTTGGCATCATCGGCGTTTTCGCCGGTCTCAGCAACGTAGGTCTTTTTGACAAAGGCAGAGTTCTGGCTGGGCTTGCCCTTCTGTTGGCCTTTGCCTTGTTGGGCAGGAGGTCGGTAGTTGCTGTTGGGCTTGTTCGAATCTCGTGGCTGTTGTGGCTTATCATCCTTGTCAAAGTCTCTGGTGTAGACCACTGGAGGTGTAGGACGGTGGTCAGGAAACTGAATCTCTGCAGCGTCCTTCACATCCTGATATCTCAAAGACTGAGATGTTGCCACCAAGATCATTCGCTGGGCATCAATGCCAAGTCGAAGTCTATCCAGCAAGCGAGATCCTGCAGCCTCAGTGTCGTACATGTGGCTCGTGTCAACACCGACACTCTGCAGTGAACGCTCAACACGGTGATACCTGTTGCAAAAGCTTTTCACAGATTCACCATGGCGTCGTTGCAGGCGCTCAAACTCATCCAAGAACTTGCGCTTCAAGTAGATACCTTTGACCATCAATGGAGCTCTCAAAGTCTCGAGGATATAGTCCACACCGCCCTCAGAGTCGATGCGGTCCAAGCTTGCATGTTCAAGCTCTTCTTCGGCTTCTCCTTTCAGACTGACATAGAGCATCATTGCAGCTTCGTTTGGAGGAAGGTATGAGGCAATCTGTCGCCTCCAAACGGTCAACTTGCGTTCCCAGCGTTGAAATGCTTGGAGATCTCCTTTGTTGTATGTCCATTGCGGTGGTGCAGGAGGTGTGCCACCGCGGTATTTCAAGCCTGGTGCTGGCCCCTTTCGAATGGACCAGGGCTTCTCCTCAGCATTCTTCGCAATCATGCTATGTAGATCCCGCAGCATTGCATCTCGCCATCCAGCATGCTTTGAACTTGCATCACTTCCAGTGCCGCCATAGCCTTTGCCCTTGCCCGAGCCACCTTTGGAATTCAAAAGTTCGCGAGCAGGTGAGGCGGTCAAAGCAGGTTCCTTAGGAAAGCCAGTTGAGTGATGTGGAACTGTGAAACTATTGCATACTTTAGGATCTTGGGATACTTTGGGATCTTGATATACTTTGGGAACTTGATGAGCTTTAGGGTCAAGAGGCACTTTGGAAACTCGTGAAACGATGTGACCTCGTGCAACTTTAGGATTGCCAGGATTGCGACGCTTCAAGGCTCTACGCTGACGTCTCGACATATTCATTGGAGATAGGGTGACTGGGTCGACCGAAGGATCTGCTGTCACTGTCTGACTCAGCATAGGCTTCCTGCAGCGAGGCATCATCTGGATCATCATGGTTTCTACGGCTGCCAGCATTGCTAGGTGGGGCATTTGGCACAAACATCCAACTGTCATTGCCACATCGCATGCATGTCCATCCATGACCAGGGCTAACTCTCCAGTCCGCGCTGTCACACGCTCGACACAACCATAGGTTTTCATCTTCTCCATCAACAGCTCGGGCCAGTGAGGGAACTTCCGAACTATCATCAAAGTAATCGTCGTTCATAAACACATGGTGCTTGCATGGGTTTCACTCACGTTGGTTCGGGCTGTGAAGGATGTTGTTGGAGCATGTCCATTGGAAGACAGCGTAGGTGACCATCCATTCGCTTCGAACTCGGAGGCAGCGTCCATGCGAAACCAGTAGCGAAGCACGGCGGCTCCGCTACCAACTCACAACAATGCTTGCTCAATGCACTGTGGATCAAACGGCAAATGCAGAAAGGCGGTTGCAACCCTTTTCATGGCAATGCACGGATGGCTCAAATGGCCGTCTGCAAAACAGGCGTGGGGCGGTTTGAGCCCACGTCCATCGGAAGGTCACCTCAGGGCACCGCGAATGAAGATTGAGGTTGCGCATGTTGAATCTTCACACACACACATATATATATATATACCCCATGTTTATTGGCTATGTGCCCCATCATTGATGGATGTCATCCCAATGTTTGTTGCTTGATTATATAGATGCCATGGTCTAAACAAAGCGTAGTGGGTATGGTTGTCCCATTTTAGGAATCCTTGCAATGGTTGTGATAAATCCTTAACCATTGGACGTCCGCTGATAAGCGGCAACAATATGCAGTTTTGATCGTGGCACATATATCACCACTGTTGCTGGATATTATCAGCATTTTTGTTGGACATTATCCCCATGATCGCTAGTTATTCCCTCTTGTTGCTGGCTATATCCTCATTCTTGTTGGTTATATCTCCATTATCCTGGCTTATATCCCCATTATAGTGGTTTACATCCCCATGATTGTTGATTATATCTTCATGATTGTTCGTTGTAGTCCATATTATTGTTTGTAATAATCCCTCTTCATAATAGGCATACCCAGACGGTTGGCTATATCCCCAAGATTGCTGGTGAGATCATATGTTTCCCATGATCGCTAGTCATTTCCCTACTATTGTTGACTATATCATCAGTAATCATAGTGGGTTATATCCTCATCATATGGGTATGGCTCAAAGCAGGAGTACCAAATGAGCCACAACTCTGGTCATTTTTAATAGGAAACCCACCATTTTAGGGGATCAATGATTTTGAGCCATACCCATAAGAGAGCAACTTGCCCCCAGATCTTCACCTCTGGGTGGACGAAGACCGCTTGAGAAAAGTCCAAGTTGGGCGAACCCGGGGGGGCGCGCTCGCAGATCTTGGCCTCCGGGATCCACCTGACCATGGAGAGTGTGTCGTTCAAATGATGGTGCGGCAGCAAGCAGTTGGAGCAACAGTCATGGAATCACGGGAGAATGGGATAATATGATGGAATCATGGGATAGTAACAGGGGGATAAGAACAATGAGATAATGATGGGATAACATGATGGAATACTGGGATAATAAGCATGAAAATATGACATAATATGATAATAGCAATAGGATAACAATGGGATAGTAACAAGGGGCTAAAAATGGGGTAATAATGGTATAATAACAAGGGGGTAATGGAATATCACCAGGATTGCTGGGATAGTGAAATGTAATCATGGGAGAATGGCATAATACGAATGGGATTGCGATGGCAATAACCAATGAAAATGATAACAGTACGAATCTGGTTGGTGGTTGGTTGCGCTTGGAGTCGTTGCCTCGAAAAAATGAAATTCCTCGTCTGGCTTGTCTCAAGGATCCCTTCCACAAACATCCACAAAATCTGCACTTCACAAATGCATGGCTATGTCTTGCCTCTGTATTTCTTTGCCTTGCTGACGAGTCTATACAACTACACCTGCCTGATGAAAAGAAAAGCCTCAAACTCCGCAACGGACCCTGACCCAAGGTTGAACAAAAACCTTCCGGTTCATCAACCCTTCCACTCTTTCCTAGAGAGGGGCTATGCAGAAACATGATGAAACATGGGCCCAAGGCAACTTCACCATACCAGTGAGGGTCTGCACTGGCACCCTAAACGGTCCCGCCTGCCAGCCTGCTTCGCTCCCGACAGAACGCCAACAAAGTTGGACAGAAAGCCAACAAGGTTGGTCTGCGACATGATCACTGGCAAAGGAACGACTTGGAAACGCTCGAGTGGAATCGCTGCTGGCATGGTACAAGTGTGACATTGGAATTCGATGGAATTCGAATCATTGTGGACGGCACTTCTGTCAGATTGCTGCTGATATTCAATTGGCTCATTCCCCTCAGAATAGAGCAACCAGCACGTGACCTGTTGGGACAGTATTCCTTTCAACGTAGCACTTCTACCCTGGCCTGGGGATAAAAGTCCAAATCTGGTACAGCTCCGCTATGTTCAACACATTTTTGGAGGAGTGCCGAACTTAACCATCCTTGACCGCACGCTAGCTTGCACTCCTACAGCTATCTCCTTCGAACCCTTACCCTGAGCACTATGCAAGGAGATATAACTCACTTTTTTTTCTTACCATGCTTCTGAGCAGGCCTTCCGCAGTTTGTGGAGTACAGAGACGCGCCAAGACCCAGTCGGGTTCTCTCTCACACTACACTACGTTACATTACACCACACTCCACTATACTACATTACACAACTCTACAATTACAACTACACAACTACACTCCACTACACTCCACTACACTAAATTACACTACACTACATTACACTACACTACACTCCACTACACTACATTACACTACACTGCACTACCTTCCACTACACTTCACTACATTACACTACACTCCACTACACTACAACTACAACTACAACTACAACTACACAACTACACTCCACTACAATACAATCCACTACACTCCACTACACTAAATTACACTACACTACACTACATTACACTACACTACACTCCACTACACTACACTACATTACACTATACTACCTTCTACTACACTTCACTACATTACACTACACTCCACTACACTACAACTACAACTACGACTACACAACTACACTCCACTACACTAAATTACACTACACTACATTACACTACACTACACTACATTCCACTACACTCCACTACACTACATTACACTACACTACAATAGACACTGCACCACAGATAGACAGGTAGACAGATAGACAGATAGATAGACAGATAGATAGATAGATAGATAGACAGGTAGACAACTAGACAGATAGACAGATGAAAGAGAGAGAGAGAGAGAGATAGATAGATAGATAGATAGGTAGATAGGTAGATAGGTAATTAGATGAAAGAGAGAAAGAGAGAGATAGATAGATTGATAGATAGATAGATACATAGAAGATAGGCTGGTAGGTAAGTAGATAGTCAGAGAAAGAGAGAGACAGAGAGGAGACCTCAAGCACCTTTCGGTCCATCAGTGGATTCGCTTTGCCATCCCTGATTCACAACAACCAACCTCTCCTATAGGTTTCCTCTTTTTGAAACTTCCGCCACCGCCTTGTGCGGTACTACTGGTACACACAGATGCTTTTACACAGAGACGCTTTTACACACAGACGCGTTTACACACAGACGCTTATACACACAGACACTTTTACACACAGACGCTTTTACACACAAACACTTTGACACACAGACACCTTTGCACACAAAAGCTTTTACACACTTTTTGACGATCGAACCTCGTTTCGTTCGAAAGGGTTCGCGGGACACCTGAACTCGCACTTTTACCTCAGTTTTTGACGATCGAACCTCGTTTCGTGCGAAAGGGTTGCGCCGGACAAGTTGAAAACGCAATTTTACGTCAGTTTTTGGCGATCGAACCTCGTTTCGTGGGAAAGGGTTGCGCGGGACGACTTGAACTCGCACTTTTACCTCAGTTTTTGACGAGCGAACCTCGTTTCGTGGGAAAGGGTTGCGCGGGACGACTTGAACTCGCACTTTTACCTCAGTTTTTGACGAGCGAACCTCGTTTCGTGTGAAAGGGTTGCGTTTCGTGCCGTCTCGTTGGCACTGCCCTTGCCCCCGCCTTCAGAAGAGAAATAGAAAAGAAGGAGAGGGCAAGAGGGCAAGAGGGCAAGATGAGAAGGTGTGAAGATGAGCAGATGTGAAGATGTGAAGATGTGAAGATGAGCAGATGTGAAGATGAGAAGATGTGAAGATGTGAAGATGAGAAGATGTGAAAATGAGAAGATGTGAAGATGAGAAGATGTGAAGATGAGAAGATGTGAAGATGAGAAGATTTGAAGATGAGAAGATGTGAAGATGAGAAGACATGAAGATGAGAAGATGTGAAGATGAGAAGATGTGAAGATGAGAAGATGTGAAGATGAGAACCCCACAATTGGAAGAACCCTGCGCTCAGACGCCCTCGGGAAAAAAACATGAATAAGCGTGATTGACTGTGAAAGGCGAAAGTAGGTTTTGCCCAATCGTGAAACCGTCTTTTGGCGAACGACTATTGTTAAAATAGTCTTTGGAAAGCTAGGGTCCCATTTTAGCGTTCGCTCCCACTGAACGACGAGCACGACGAAAAACTGGAAGCAAAGCTGGACACCAGCTTACCGTTAAGCCTAGGTTTGCAACAGCCCGTGCCTTTGGTTGCTACCTTTGTTTACCGCAGTATGAGGAACTCTTGGCGCCGCACTCTGCGGACACTGGCAAGGTCGGTTGGACCTTGCAGGCCCACGAAATGCACCAATGGTGGAAGTCGACGCTGGGGGCTCTTGACTGCAATCCGGCAATGTCGAGACTGGGGACCAAACAGACAAGTGGTGGTCCATTGCGGACTGTGAGCCGTCTGATGACATGAGCCAAGCAACAGCAGTTGTCTACTTCCAAACATCGTCTCAGATCAGCACAGGGAAAAGCACCCGCGAAATCTCCTTTTGAAGTGTGCCCAGTTTTTGGGCTGAAGCTCGGTGAAGCTTTTTGCTGTCGCTCGTTAGCCATCGCAATGCCGTGTTCACAAAATCGGTTGTGACCGGGCGCCAAGGTTAGCCCCCGAAGCTCAGCTTTCAGGACCAGGCATTAAAAGGTGCCTGCCACGCAAACAGCGGCGGCGCCCACAGCGCCAAACGGGAACCAAGCGCCCAGCCCAGTGACAAAAGTGCCACGCCTGCCACGCAAAGTAACGATCGATGTCGCGAAGTGCCACGCCTGCCACGCAAAGTGACGGTCGATGTCGCGAAGTGCCACGCCTGCCACCCAAAGTGACGGTCGATGTCGCGAAGTGCCACGCCTGCCACGCAAAGTGACGGTCGATGTCGTCAAGCCCGACGCCTGCCACGCAAACAGCGGCGGCGCCCACAGCGCCAAACGGGAACCAAGCGCACCACTAGACCCAGCCCAGTGCCATAAGTGCCACTCCTGCCACGCAAAGTGACGATCGATGCCGCGAAGTGCCACGCCTGCCACGCAAAGTGACGGTCGATGTCGCCAAGCCTCACGCCTGCCACCCAAACAGCGGCGGCGCCCATGGCGCCAAACGGGAACCAAGCGCACCACTAGACCCAGCCCAGTGCCATAAGTGCCACGCCTGCCACGCAAAGTGACGATCGATGCTGCGAAGTGCCACGCTTGCCACGCAAAGTGACGGTCGATGTCGCCAAGTGCCACGCCTGCCGTGTGGACAAGTTGTGTGTGGACAAGTTGTGTGGTGACAAGTTGTGTGTGAGTAATGGTGACAAGTTGTGTGTGGGCAAGTTGTGTGTGAGCAAGTTTTGTGTGGACAAGTTGTGTGTGTGTGTGTGGTCAAGTTGTGTGTGGACAAGTTGTGTGTGGTGACAAGTTGTGTGTGAGCAAGTTGTGTGTGAGCAAGTTGTGTGGTGACAAGTTGTGTTTGGAGACAAGTTGTGTGCGGTCAAGTTGTGCGTGAGTAAGGTGTCAAGTTGTGCGTGGTCAAGTTGTATGTGGACAAGTTGTGTGGTCAAGTTGTATGTGGACAAGTTGTGTGTGTGTGAGCAAGTTGTGTGCAAGGTGTGTGTGAGCAAGTTGTGTGCGGACAAGTTGTATGTGGTCAAGTTGTGTGTGGTGACAAGTTGTGTGTGTGAGCAAGTTGTGTGTGGGCAATGTGTGTGTGTGTGAGCAGTGTGTGAGCAGTGTGTGGGCAATGTCTGCGTGCAGGCGGCGGGCGGCGGGAGGAGGCGGGAGTGCACAACCAAAAACAAGAACCCCATACAAAGATGTGGGGAACCACAACCCGAATGCATACGTTAAATGAGTGCATGACTAGATAGACACAAAAAACAATTACTCAGGAAATGCTGCAAGCCATACTTACTTTGCGCTCCTCACTCCGCACTCTGCAGTCTACACTCCACGCGTTACATGGGACAATCCCCAAGGACGAGACCACCCAATCAAGCACACGCTGTAGCAGCAAGACTCTCACACTGCCCGCTACACACTTCATACACAACATGACGCGCTCTACACTCTAGAATCCACACTCTACACTCTACACTTCACATTCCGCACTCCACTCTACACACTCTTCACGCTACACACCCTTCACACTACACACTCTTTACGCTACACACTCCATAATTTACACTTCACACTCCACGCTTTCCATTCCACAGTCCGCACTTTCCACTCCACACTCAGCACTTTCCACTCCATACTTTACACTCTACACTCCACACTCTCCACGCCGAACTCCACACTCCACACTCTCTTTTTAAATATACATTCCACACTTCCCAGTGCTACTTGTACTACAAAGTACCTCCCAATACTCCTTGGTACTACAAAGTCTTGCACAAAGCACTTTCCAATACGACTTTGTAATACACAAAATACTTTCCAGTCTAACATGAATCTGAAATCACTCCGACATGACTGAAACGAGCCTGAAACAAGTCTGAAGCAGGCTTGAAAGCTACTCCACACTTCACACTTAGCACTCCGCGCATCACACTTCACACTCTTCACACTTCACACTTCACACTCTCCACTCCACACATCACACTCTCAACTCCACACTCCCACATCACACTCCACTTCTCTCTCTCCGCTCCCCACTCCACACTCTACACTTCACACCCTCCACTCCACACCTTACGCTCCACACTCCACACTCCACACTTCCCACATTACACTCCACGCATCATACTCCACGCTCAACACTCCACACTTCACACTCTCCACCACATACTCCACACTCCACACTCCACACCCCACACTTCACATTCTCCACTCTGCACACTCCATCCATTGGCCTAATGGACAAGGCGTCGAACTTCTAATCCGAAGATTGCGGGCTCGAGTCCCACAGGGGGTGTTGTCTTTCCAGGACTCCACAACATTTTCGTGTTTGACAGTAGTTCAGTAGGGGCGGCCCGAGCGACCCACATCTGTCCCACCCATAGCATGCACACGAGCCACTTGGACACAGTTTCTTCTGCTGCCAATTCCCCGGCGCAAGCAACGCTTCACATCCGCCTACTAGCCGCCAACTATTATTTTCCGTTGCTTCTCTTTAGCCCTGCAATCGACACCGAGGGGATTTGAACCCCTGCGGGCAGAGCCCAATGGATTTCGAGTCCATCTCCTTAGCCGCTCGGACACAGTGTCTTCTGCCTGCACTCTGCAGTCTCTCTCTTCCCAAACATCTTCTGCAACTCCTCCTGGGCTGCACTTCACGCTCTCCACTCCACACTTCGCTCATCACACTCCACACTCCACACTCTCCACTTCACACTTCGCCCCTCGCACTCCACACTCCACACTTCACACTTCACACTCCACACTCCACACTTCCCTCTCCACACTCCACACTCCACACTTGACATTCCACACTCTCCACTTCACGCTTCACACTCTCCACTTCACACTTCGCACTCTGCACTCCACAATCTGCACTTCACAATTTCCACTCCACTCCACACTTGCACACTTCCGCACTTCACACTTCACACTCTCCACTCCATACTTCACACTCTGCACTTCACACTCCACACTTCACACTCTCCACTCCGTACTCCACACTTCACACTTCACACTTCCCACATCAAACATGAGACATCACACTCCACGCTTCAAACTTCACATTCCACACTTGCCACATCACACTCCACACTTCACACTCCACACTTCACATTCCACACTCCCCACTCCACACTTTCCACATCACACTCCACACTTCCCAATTCAAACTCGCCACTCCGTACTCCACACTTCACACATCACACTTCACACGTTCACACTACACACTCTTATCCTGATTGCCACCAAGCCCCACGCCTGCCACACGAAATGCACATTCGCAACTTCAAAACGTCACGTTCTGTAGCAATTCCTAGAGGCAGAGCAAGACGCGATTATAGCCCTGCCACACGCAATGACCCGCAAACAAGACTCCACCCCCAGACCCCCCACCAAGAAAAACAAGAACCCTTCGCCATGCATTCGGGAAAATCAGGTTTTGCATTTTGGACATTCAACGGTTCGAACCTCATTGTGGATTTCTCCAGCATTATGATTTTGCAAACGTGCAACATGAGAATTTTGGAATTGGTTGACACTTGTAAGACCAACCAATCTCGCTTGCAAAAAATATGGGGGCAGTATACGACCTATAGCGGTGCAAAAGCCGGCTGTTCAACAATTAACCAACCGCTCGGAAAAGGACATCTGGGTGCAAGACTCGATTCTTCCCACCGTGGCAAATTGAACATATATTCAAACATTCTCTCTGACATCCTACTGGACTTTCTCTGTGGCATTCTTATCTGGATTCAGGTCCGGCGCGGCGCAAAGAGCTGGCGAGCTCACTATACTTGTCAGGTCCGGCGCGGCCCAGCGGGCGGGACGAAAGAGCTGGCGAGTTTCCTCCATCGCTCACGGGTCGCTCAGGATGGCCTGCTAGAAAGGCTGGCAAGCTGGCGAGGAAGAAGGAGAAGGAGCAACCGGGATGTCTTGTTAAAATGTAGAGACCCTCACCTGGCACGAGTTCCGGTTCTGAACATTCCAAGCAACCAGTGCATGATCTTGTCGTGGACACTTTCAGAGTCTCTGATTTCTGGATGCCTTGGAACTCTGGGCACGTGGCTGCAACATGACTGAGACGAGTTCACAAGCAGGGGCATCTTTGAGATACTGCAAAACCTTGCAAGTGCCCCAGGTCCCAACAAAATGCGCTGAGTGCTGTCTTTCTCTCATGCCTTCTACGTCTTGTTTCCCTTCAATTGAGAAAGAACTCATCCATTCGCCTTTCCTGTGATCGCTCTGTCCATCTCTCTTTACCGGGTGATTCAAGCCATCGTCTCTCGGGCAACATGGCAATGCTGGACAGAAGCTTCGAACAGTTGTTCCAAGCGCAGTAGCTCCGAGCAATTCCAAGTTGCCAATCTTGTGGATCGAATGAAAAGTCTCCCGTCTCGCACTTCAGTACGTAGAAGCTGTAACCCAATAAGCGCAACAATGCCTGAGAGTGGGCACACCATTTTGAGTCCGAACCTCCAAAACCGAAGCGAAATTAAAGTAGGAACCAGACTAGAGGTCATGCACAGTCATGTTGGTGCTTGTCAAACGGCATTTTCTTGCGTTTTCGCAAGCTAGTTTAAAGCTACACCTCAAAAGACTTTATTTCACATTGCTGCTGGTCGTGCCACTCATCTGCAACACTTTCTGCTCTGCTCTCCCAAAATGCGTGGTGCGCGTTTGGCAGCGACATGCCATGCCAAAAAAAACAAGTACGAACATGCCCAGCTCAAACAGAGAAACTAGCAGGAGGGCCATGTTTGGAACATCTCCCACTGGTTTCCAACAGTCTCTCATAAATGTTAGTATTCCGCATCTCCCACCTTGTATATGTATATATGTGAACATGTATGTATATATATATGTGTGTGTGTATGAATGAATGTATGCATGCATGCATGTATGTATGTATGCATGCATGCATGCATGCATGTACGTATGTACGTATGTACGTATGTACGTATGTACGTATGTACGTATGTACGTATGTACGTATGTACGTATGTGCGTATGTACGTATGTACGTATGTACGTATGTACGTATGTACGTATGTACGTATGTACGTATGTACGTATGTACGTATGTACGTATGTACGTATGTACGTATGTACGTATGTACGTATGTACGTATGTACGTAGTACGTATGTACGTACGTACGTACGTACGTACGTACGTATGTATGTATGTATGTATGTATAGTATAGTATATATACATATGTATGTATACATGTATACTTACTGTTTATATTTCATGTTTACATGTAAATGAAAAATAAATATACATGTATAAGTACATATATGTAAATGAATATATGTCTTTATAATTGTGTATATATATATACACATTGATTTATATATGTAATTTTGAATGTGTAAATATCTATATGTATATTTAAATGTGTGTATGTATATATATGTATAGATATATATATATATATATATATTTTTTTGTAAATTTATGTGTATACATATATGTAAATTTGTGTGTAAATATATGTGTATATATATATATGTGTGTATTAATATGTGTATATATATAAGTACATGCGTGTGTGTGTGTGCATTATGTGTATGTATGTATGCATGTACATATGCGCAGATATAAATATATATATATGTAATGTACATATATGTATATAGATAAGTATTTAGATATGCATATAGATATGTATACAGATATGTCTATAGATATGTAAAAGGACATGCATATACTCATATATATATATACACATGTTAATTTCAAAAAATATACATATATTTGTAAATAATTTGTATATTTATCTGTATGCATATATATATATATATATATGAGTATGTGTATATATATGTGTGTACACGAGTATATATATAGATATATACATGTGTATGTATGTATATATGTAAATATGTATATGTGCATGTACAAATATGTATATGTTTTGCTTGCCGGTGTGTGCGTATATATATATATGTGTGTGCGCGCGCGTTTATTTTCAAAAAATGTACATGTGTTTGTATATATATATATATGTATACATGTGTATAGTTATATATATGTGTGTGTGTGTTTGTAAATGTACATATAAATGTATCTTATATATACATACATGTAAAAAATGATATGTCCGCACCTTGGTGCAAAAAGTACATCCATGTGAAACAACAGAGGTTAAGTCAGGCATTTCGGACAGCATCTATTTTCTCTATGCTCCTTCGAATGGCGTCTTAGGTTAAACCTCCCAGAGGTTGTGGTTATGGAAACGGACAGCGCTACGAAGTAACACTGGGTCTAAGCCGTGTTTCAGATTCAAACAGAACATGGAAACACAAACCAGCTGTTTAAGGTCCAAGGACACTTGAACAATTCATCCAAAAAAGGGTAAACAAGATACCCAAAAGAAAAGGGTAAAAGTGTAAACACACACTTAGACCCACCCCCCTATCACCCCGCAGAGGGGATCAAGGGAGGGTGGGTGGGACAAAATTAAAGGAAGACCAGACTTCAGCCAAAACGGGCAACCAATCTGCTCTTAAAGCCTCCCATGTTTCATGCCACATGTAAGACCCTACCCAACCTACCATGCTTAACATGTAAGCCAAGACACAAGAAGAGGTTAAGTCAGGCATTTCGGACAGCATCTATTTTCTCTATGCTCCTTCGAATAGCGTCTTAGGTTAAATCTCCCAGAGGTTGCGGTTATGGAAAGGGACAGAGCTACGAAGCAACACTGGGTCTAAATGGTGTTCCAGATTCAAACAGAACATGGAAACACGAACCAGCCGTTTAAGGTCGAAGGACACTTGAACAATTCACCCACTGTCTTAAATAAATATAAAAACACCCACTGCCCCTTCATACCACTAACGCAGCAAAGGAGTAGAGAAAATGGCATGGAAGAAGGTGACTCGGAAAATCATATTCCTGCACAGCCCAACTCTGAGCAACAGTCCATGGGTCATGGGTTCCTAAGCGGCTCAGGAGTCGACCCATTCCCACCAAGTCCGTGCCCCAGGCGATAAAGAACAACTTGAGCATATTGAGAAATGAGATGAACGCCCATCTGTGCAGAGGAGCCACGAACCAAAGAAGAAGTCGCAGCCCCGTTGTCAATATACCACACGACATCAGCTTGCCAAAACTAGCTTGGGTGCAACAGGGGAACAACCAAAGCGCAGAGGCTCTCACCATGCAGGGTAGATCTGCTGGCGTCTGGGAGCCCAAGATGCCAAAGTGGCTGCTGGCAGGTTGCTCCACATATAGGAAAGTGGGGGTGGAAGAGCACCCAACCAAGACGTAGTAGCCCTTGCTCAAAAGATGCATGAGAATAGTTAGACCACCACTGGTGCCTTGGTGGGCCCTGCGATAGTAACTTCACGAAGAGCGGCCTGGCGGACAATCTCTCGAGGAGGCGAAGAGAGGGTCAGGTCCAGCCTGTTTTTCAGTGAGAAGTGGCCCAGCCAACTTACCCACCTACCCTGCACACAGACTTTAGAGGTCACAACGAATTGAAACTGGAACCGCACAGATCCTAAGGTGAAGGCGTCACCGGTATGGACCGAGGTGTCGAGGTAGTACCTGTTGCAAGTATAGGGTTAAAACTCTTGGCAGGCTGAGGAGGGGCCCCCATCAGAGTAAACACAAGCTGCAGGCCACGTTGAGTAACATTGTGGCATCCTTGAGGAATTCAACGGAGAGTTCGTCATCAAAGTATGCTGCAGCACATCCCAGAAGACAACGCCGGGTTATGGCGCAAGGTGCGGGAAGCGATTGCAAGCTACCACTGCTGATTCCAAAACCATAAGCCAGCCCCCGTAGAGTAGTGAACCGCCACCCCAAGTCGGCACATAAACAGCCACGATCGAAAAGCGCAAATGCTCTGGACATACCGGGAGGCCACGGTATTCGTCAGGGAGATCGTCCGTTTATGCCAGCTGGAGCCAGCTCGGCGGGTCAGCCGGGAACGGGGCATCCCCGAACAAAGCTTGCGAGATCATGCGGGTGGTGGACGCGATAAAAGCCACTGACGTGGCATAAATCGTCTCAGACGTCTGGGTATGTATGTAAATTATGTCCTGTTTTCCTCCCATTATCGATGACTCGGCGTTTTCCGAAGAAACCTTTCAAGGGGCCTCCAGCATCCTGGCCCATGCAAATCATCAAGTTCAGCACGGGTCTGGAATGGGCTACAGAAGCCTTTGGTCTGCTCCTCTTTGATAACCTGAAGGATATCGGCCACATGCTTAGGTGGTCCAGAGCGAATCAGTTTGTCCACGGCCACCATGGCCGGTTGCCAAAAGTTGTTTGTCACCTTGATGGACATCACGCCCAACAATAGGGTAGCCTGTCAAGAGGTGCTTGCCCTGCTGGATATCCGGCCATCGAAGGAGGGAGGTGAGATGCTGCTGGGGGAACTTTTCCAAGGGCCACACTGCGAAATATTGTCCGCTGTATCTGGGCGAGCCCAGGGAGGTGTGCCTGGCTCAGGCCACACAACAGGACAGAAAGGCGAGGGATGACGAAGTGTTTCAGTGACATGTTGCACGGGTCCCAGAGCCGGGGGCAACAGGTGATCAAGCCCTCTGGATGATGCCGCCGCATAGCGTTGCCCAGTCAGACCAGCAAAAATGGCTGCACGATCACGGGCATGTAACGGTGTGGACCCAAGGTGCAGCCGGGGTTCTCCGCGGCATCGGCGCCACGCCACAAAAGCTTGAAGGGATGCTAGGCGACACACATCCAAACGTCTCGCAGTGTTATGCCATATTTCATCTGGCACAGGGATACCCCGGAAGCAAAACAATGTCCCCCACGATGCGAGTGCCTCGCGAGAGTCCAGGGAAAGATTCAAGACGTTGCGGTTCCCATGTGGTGCCCACCAATCGCTGCTTCAAGTTGAAGTCTGGGGCAAGGGGGGGCACGGGTCATCCAAGAGCGCAGGAAGGAGCATGAAAATTGCCAACACTGAAGGGAGATGAAAGCCATCATACCCAAAAGGGAGTTCTGATTCTTGATACGCAGGGGCTCCGGTTCTCCGACTGCTGCCACAGCAGCGGGGGGAACGCCCAAGAGTTGTGCAAGCGGCTGTCGCCACTGCTCATTGCGCCAGAGCAGGCAGCGCTCCTCCTAGGCACCCGGAGGGAACCTCCTGTTGTCAGCCATGAAGCGGTTTGCAGCCTCAGGTGACACTTGGCCAAGTCGATCCGAAGGATGATAAAACTCCCTGCTGAACGTGTGAATAGCTCCAACTCAACCGTCCGCCAAAATCTTGGTTGGGCCAAACACAGGCGCAAAACCATCAGTCCATGAGATTATTGTAGCTGGGATGGGCTTCTTCCCTTCGTAGCTTAGTGTTATCCTCTGCAAGCCAAGCCCAATCCGCAGGTGGGTGAAGACGGTGAAGACGAGGATGAACGCCACGGCCTCGACAGCTTAGCCAATAAAGCCGGCGACGTTGCACCTAGCCACAAGTTGCGGCGTTGATCAGCACTGGTGTAGATCGAAGCCATTTGTTGTACTGCATCTTCACTTGATTGGGCATACTGGCCACATTTTCGAGGAACGCAGCAACCACCAGGCCCCTGACCAAAGGTTCTTGTTCCAGGTCGTGCAACAACCGCTCAGAGCGGGCGTGTTGTTGGGACCGCTGATCTTTGAGCCCATTGCGGGAGGCATTCAAAATGCTATTCCCCTGACATGGTGAACCACCCTCTAAGATGATTCCCCTGAAAGAACGGCGTTTCAGAATCCCTCGGAGAGACTGCACCTGAAGGTGTTCGACTCCGTTGGTGTGGACAATGTTCGGCATGGTCTTGTGTGCGCACTCTCTGCAGGCCTCATCAGATTCAGCGGCCAGGGCGTAAGAATGCCCAGGCAAAGGCCTGAATAGCCAGCCCACGAATCAAGGACCAACCACGTACCTCTAAGAGAGGGGTTAATTATATTGGAGAAGGTCGCCCTTTCCTCTCCATGTAACGGGCTTGGCAGCAGCAAGCTTTTCTGGTGTAGCTGGGCTGCACATTGGGTCAGCTGCACCACCCGGTCGGTCTCAGGAAGGGTGCACGTCACAACTCTGGTTGAAGAAGCCGAGCAGGCTGGGGCCCTGACGTCACAATCCACATCTGCCACAGATGGGAGAGCGATATCATCCGGGGGCCCCTCCGCAGGGTCAAAACCCTGCACAAAGTGATGTCCCTATTCCGGGTGGCTCATGCGGTTATGCCTGGTGCTCTGACATGCATCTCCTGTCGGCAGCCGAACATCACAAGCATGAAGTTTGTCACAGCCTTTGCCTCCTCGTTGATCACTCCAGGCATTGCAGATACGAACCGGACGCAGCTGACAGCGGTCTGGATAATGCAGGCCAACACCATTTTGTTCACAAATTCCCAGAGTTGGGGTTCAGGGGCTTGGACAGCGCTGTACTCGGCAGGTATAGGGATTGGAAAGGCTTGACCAAAAAGTGTTGCAGCCCCAACTTCATGCCCATCTTGCCGCTGTTGGTCCACCTCTGCTGGCCTCCTTCAGGAACTCGGCCAATTGCAAGGGTGCAGGGTTGCGCACGGAGTTGGCCACAGCGAAACGTCTCCACCGCCTGAAGGGCACCCAACCGATTGGTGGAGAGCTGGCTGGGTTGGGACATGACAGTGTCCTTCACCTGCTCCACACCAGGGTCTTGGATCTGCTCTGTGGAGAGGCCCAACTCGGCTAGGTCCAGGACATCCTCAAGCAGCAAGTGGAACAAGGCGTCCACTTTCCTTTCCTTAGCAGCCTTCTCCTTAGTGAAGGCATCACCGGCTGCAGCCTGTGACAACACTGGTGGGTTCTGCAGTGCACCTGTAGTAATCATCTGCTTGTAGGAGAGGATCTTCGGCTTGAAAGGTTCACCACGATCAGGAGCTGCATGAAGTAGCACCGTGGACTGGCGATCCTGGATGATGGCATTGGTAACACGGCGCGCGTCCTGGTGAGATTTCCCAGAGATCATCGTCCAGAATGCATGAACCGCAAAGGCTTGGGTGGCATCCAATCTTCCGTATCTCTCTTCATACTCACTCACCAGTAAGACCCTATCCAACCTACCATGCTTACCATGTAAGCCAAATTGTTTGAACGCTTCTCACTTTGATTCTCTCTTGTCAGTGTGAATGAGCACAGTCCCCTAGGGAGCCGCGGTCAGCGGAGCAGGAAGGAACGATGATCTGTTGATGATCTGTTGAAGTTCAGCAAAAGTTGCTTCCAAGGCACGGCATCCACGTGGAGTTTCACATTTCTGATCTGCTCCTGGAGCTTCTGCTGTGTTTTGAATGCAGGCCACAAGTTCCTCATGGCGCATGACGCAAAATGATGCAGCATGGACAACAACACACATGTGCAACATGTCAGCAGCTCTAAAACACACGAGAAGACCGGCACGAAAAAGATGAGGAATAAGAAAGGAGAAAGAGGTTGGGACCATAAGAGGCACGATTGCAACGATCAGGGAAACTCAAAACCAAAATGCTACAAACAGGAGCTACGCAAGGCAGCTTTCCAAAACGAGACCGCGCCCCATTGCCAACAAAAACGTTGAGAAATGGAAAGCGAGGCAGTGAGGCTTGTCAAACTGCCAAGCGATTTTGACCTTTGAATCATCTGCCAGCAAGCAGCATGATTTGTTGCAGCTCGTCTTTCAGTTTCACCATCAAAGCCAGAAAGGGCCGATATTTGTGCATAGAGATACTGCAACGAGTAATGAAACACTCTATCAAGTTGATCCGCTGGTTGATGTCGTAGATGACCTGTTAAAAACTCTTCGAAGAGGTGATGCTGCACGAACACACACTGCGACCATCTGCAACTTTTGAGCTATCCAGACTCATAAGCCTCTACTTTGTTTTGACGAGCTTCAAGCGCGCATTTGATTGGAATGTGGTCAACTCCGTGGAAAAGTGAATCATGTGAGTCTGTGTCTGTGAGTCTGTGCATTTTCCCTGGCATCATGAGAAGATCATGAGAACATGAGACTCGCAGACTCCCAGGATCCCACAGTCCTGGTTGTTCCCGGCCTGGTTGGACGGGTTCATCTCTTTGGCCAACTTCCTCACGAAGTGGTGGAATTCATTCACCACCAAAGAGGCAGCAGCCTGAGAATCGGCAACTTATCAGCAACTTACATCACTTTAGCATCAACTTACATCAACGACACCGTCACATCAACTTTGGCGGCAGTGTTGACCACAATGCCCAACAATGCTCAACAGAAAGCTGCTGTGTCAAGAGTAGCGCCGCTGTATTTGCACATGTACAGACATTCACTGGCTACAGCCACCGTCTATCTGTGTGTGACCCACGCTGTAGCAAAGGGTTGCGTCCCTTGAGCTACCAAGCTTCCAGCGACTGATCCACCAAAGCTAGGACGTTGGAATGCAATTGCTTGCTTGGTGGCTTCAAAAAATATGAATTCTGATCTGACCACTTCGGCTTGATTTCTTGCTTTCTGCGGGTGTGCACAACAAACAAGCCTGGATGTTAGCGGGAAACGATTTGAAAACATCAACAAAACCCAACAAACGAATTGCCGTAACTCTTTAAAAGGGCGAGAGGGAACAAGTGCAAAGGCGAGCACACGCACACTTGATTGTGCGACACGTAAATGCAATGAGCTGGCGGCGTGCCTAAATATCCTAAAGGTCACATGCTTTCTCACAAGAGATGCAGAATTTTGCAAGCCAAGCGGCATGGCGGTCGCTCGGATGATCCTGGTAAGGAGTAGCACCGTAGCTGGAAACGCACTTGAAGCCGACTCAACTGATCACAACATATTTGCCAACCTACACGATCAGTTCCAAACCTTGCGGTCACGAATCCCGATCCGCCTACATTTTGAAGGCATTTGAAGGCAATATTCAGGGGAAGCACAGCGAAGCTTTTGATTTCAAACTGTGCTTTCTTTTGATCTGTCTTTGACATGTCCGTGTCTATGTTTCATCTTTGAACTTTGTTTTCAACTGTGTTCAATCTGATTGCTGGATCCGAACAGTCCAAGCATTACCCTGCTACACTGGTGAGCCTGTCTGAGTATTCATCCATACGGCCCATCGAATTCTCATGTTCCTAGCTCATCTTGTCTCCATACGGATGTTGGTAATTAATATTATCATGTGATTTTCTACGTAGAAATATATATATACCAAATAAATTATCATTTTGAACTTGTGCAGCTCTTTTCTCCCGTTTCTCCCTTTGCCGAGCGCTTGGCCTCGTGAATCTGAGTGAGTTTGAAGTTGCGCAAGGTCACGGACAGGCCTCGTTTTTCGAACGGCAAGGCGTTTGAATTTCGTGTGTTCTTGGCTGAAACGAGGACGGAGAATGCTCTTGGCAGTTCAAGCAAGAGAGACTGAAAAATTATCCCGGCAAGAGACCCCAAACAGTGTGGGGAGTGGGAGGGTTAATGTATGATAATGTTGTTGATGATGATGGTGATGATGAGGATGATAATCCGGAAGATGAAGTGGAGGATGGTAAGATGGAGGATGATGATGTTGAGGATGATAATGTTGAGGACAATGATGAAAAAGATGATAACGTTGAGGAGGAGAAGGAAGATGATGTTGAGGAGGAGGACCGATCCCAAGACGGGGAACCACACTTTGTGCTAGCCTGCGCAATCGAAATGCACTTGGACATGTCACAAGAGCCATCTTATCCAAGAAATTACAGGTAAAGGCCGCAGAACAAGAGCAAGCCCAAACCCCGGCGCAGACTTTGTGCGAGCGTGCGCAGTCGAATGCACATGGACATGTCACAAGAGCCACCTTATAAGCCCCAGGACCGGGACAACCGTTTTGTGCGAGCCATCGACATGCACATGGACATGTCACAAGAGCCATCTTATCCAAGAAATTACAGGTAAAGGCCGCAGACCAAGAGCAAGCCAAACCCCGGCGCAGACTTTGTGCGAGCGTGCGCAGTCGAATGCACATGGACATGTCACAAGAGCCACCTTATAAGCCCCAGGACCGGAACAACCGTTTTGTGCGAGCCATCGACATGCACATGGACATGTCACAAGAGCCATCTTATCCAAGAAATTACAGGTAAAGGCCGCAGACCAAGAGCAAGCCAAACCCCGGCGCAGACTTTGTGCGAGCGTGCGCAGTCGAATGCACATGGACATGTCACAAGAGCCACCTTATAAGCCCCAGGACCGGAACAACCGTTTTGTGCGAGCCATCGACATGCACATGGACATGTCACAAGAGCCATCTTATCCAAGAAATTACAGGTAAAGGCCGCAGACCAAGAGCAAGCCAAACCCCGGCGCAGACTTTGTGCGAGCGTGCGCAGTCGAATGCACATGGACATGTCACAAGAGCCACCTTATAAGCCCCAGGACCGGGACAACCGTTTTGTGCGAGCCATCGACATGCACATGGACATGTCACAAGAGCCAATTTTTGCGGAAATTTACAAGTAAAAAGCCGCAGGCCAAGAGCAAGCAAAATGCGCGGTGCAAACTTTGCGCGAGCCTGCGCAATCGAAATGCGCATGGGCATCTCACAAGAGCCATTTTATGCGGAAATTTACAGGGAAAATGCCGCGCCCCAGAGTGGGCACCTCGATCAAACACCGGCCTTAACTTTTACCGCACACTGTTTGGGGGGGAAAAAGCGACGGACAAAGGCGAAGAGATGGGCAGAGGGCAGAGGGCAGCTTCGAAGAGAAAGTAGGCAAAATTAGAAAGGGGGACGGTAAATTGAGGGGGAGGGGCTCAATTTGGTTATAAATTGGAGCTCACTTGGGGCATAAATTTTGAGGTTCACTTGGGGCATAAAAATGGGCTCACTTGGGGCATAACTGGGCTCACTTGGGGCATAATGGAGCATAAATGGGCTCACTTGGGGCATAAATGGCCTCACTTTGAGCTTTATATGTTCTTGCACTTAAGAGACTTTGTATGTTCTTACACTTAATGTCAGAAAAGCCACAAATCCTTCAGGGTGTGTATGTCGTTAAGCTTAATGTAAGAAGAGCCACGGCGCCTTTAGGGTTTATATGTTGTCGCGCTTAATGTAAGAAGAGCCACGACACCTTTTAGGGTTTGTATGTTGTTACACTTAATGTAAGAAGAGCATAGACGAGCCACGTCGCCTTTAGGGTTTATATGTTATTGCACTTGATGTAAGAAAAGCCACGACACCTTTAGGGTTTATATGTTCTTACACTTCATGCAAGAAGAGCCAGAACACCTTTAGGGTTTGTATGCTCTTGCACTTAATGTAAGAAGAGCCACGACACCTTTAGGGTTTATACGTCGTTACACTTAATGTAAGAAGAGCCACATCACCTTTAGGGCTTATATGTTCTTGCAGTCAATGTAAGAAGAGCCGCGACATCTTTAGGGTTTATACGTTGTTGCAGTTAATGTAAGCAGGGCCACGGCACCTTTAGGATTTATATGTTGTCACACTTAATGTAAGAAGAGCCACGACACCTTTTAGGGTTTGTATATTGTTACACTTAATGCAAGAAGAGCCACGGCATCTTTAGGGTTTATACGTTGTTGCAGTTATTGTAAGAAGAGCCACGACACCTTTAGGGTTTGTATGTTGTTGTATTCCTTCTGACAATGAACTCAACGAGACACGAAGAGCACAGTTGCTTTTAGATACGCCGTGAAAAGTTAAGGCATCACAGAATGAAGTGAACGAGACATGCCCTGCACAGTTGCACTGTGGCACGCCGTAATACTTCCTGGCTCTTGCGCTGAGCCCTACACGGTGGCGATGTATCTGCTTTACGCCCCAAGAGAGACCAAATTTACGCCCCAAGCGAAACCAAATTTACGCCTTAAGCGAGCCAAAATTTACGCCCTAAGCGAGCCAAAATTTACGCCCTAAGCGAACCCCCGCCCTAAATTGAGCTTGCCAAACAGTGCCAAACTCTTTGATTGGGAACCCAAGATCTGCTGGAATTTGGTCATATCAACTTATCAACCGCTGTTTGGCCACACAAACCGTTCCTATCCGTTCCTGCTCAGTGGCTGTTGGCATCTTTCCCAATGAACCCGATGGAGTGCGGATCCGGGACATGGATATCTGCGTGTGTCACAGGCAAGGCAGCTCTGTAGTAGTTACCCAAAAAACCGTGAGAGTGCTCAACTTTGAAGGGATTCACCTGGGCACGGCATGCGAATCTCACAAGCGGGCAAGCGGATCATGCGGATTGACACCCTATTGCATTCAACTCAACTGACTGTCCACAAGAAGATTGCATTCAATTCAGACAAGTCCAGGGATGAGCCCACAATCTAAATAGTTCGCTCATATAGATTGGAATACGAGCCTTGGTGCCTCCGGACACAAGGATTTCAACTAGGTGGGAGGAGCAGTCGAACATCTTGAATCCGTTTCAAGGTGTTCAAGTGCGTACATTCAAAGAACCAAGGCAATGACTGTGCCACTCCTGTACTTCACTTTGAATCGTTTTCAATCATGAAGCCACAGGTCACTCCGTCAGACTGCTGCTATTCAGACTCACCCTAGCCTTTATCTGAGTGACTTCAGGAGGTTGAGGTGTAATTTGCAAATGTTTGTACATGTCCCAGATCTCAGAAACGTGCTCCGCCTGAGGTGCAGCTGCAAAAGGTCGACGCATTCCAACTAAATACGTCGACATCATTCGCCATGAAACTGGTTTTCCGGGAGCCGAAATTTTCCTCCCAAAACCCCCAAACTCCATTCAATTTTTAATGGACAGCAAACACCATGCAAATTTCATGTTGCAACGTGTTCAAAGCCATTCGCTACATGAATGTTCAAGTTTTTGTTTATCTAATCGCGCCTCTTTCTTGGACAAATGCCAGCCGTGCAGCTGATCTTGTTCTTCGGAAGGGTTCGATGAAGCAGCGGCAGCATTGGCTGCTGCCGCACTGGCTGCGCCCGCTGCGATCGCTGCTTCCGTCTCCGTCATGGGTGCGAAAGTGTTACTGTTTCCTTGAAAAAAAACTGTGTTTTTTAAGGGCAACAGCATGCTTCTCATAAGTCCTCATTTCAAGGAATGTGACATTCGTTGAGGAAGTTGTGGCATACCTCCATGCAACATTCTCCTACAGAGACGGCAACATTCCTCTGAGAAAGCGCATCATGACTTTGAAGCAGGACCCTGAGACGTGCGTAGCATTCCTTTAGAAAGAGTGCGTGATGTTTTCCAAATATTTTAACAAAAAATGGTAGCACCTCTTTAAGATACCTTTTGAATATACACATTACGTAGTGTTTTTCAATCGTTTAGCAGTACTGTAAGAAAGTGCTTGCTGGTTTCATGAAATATTGACTTAGGCAACGGTGTTATGCAATATTCCTTTGAAAAACTACGATTTATTTTGAAAAATATAGTATCATGTTCAAGAACCAAAAATCACTATATGATAGTATAAGTAAGTACACATACATATATATATATGTGTGTGTGTTGTGATTCTCAAACCAGTAGCTGATGATAACAACAACAATAACCCTGTCAATAGATTCCTTTCACTCTCATAAAACCAACAGCCCTGCTATCACTGGAGGTCCTGGAACCATACTTGCAGCCTGCCAGACACGTGGCTCAGGCGAGCTCAGAGGTGGGCGGTGCGGGTATCTTTCGTGTGTCTCCAGCCATAGTGGACTACATAGCGACGGGGTCGCTCAGTGGACGAGGCCGTCCAATCAGAAGCATCCAAAGGCATCCAATCCGAATCTCAGCTGGCAGTGGAGGAAAAGCTGAGCGCTTCAGGTGGAGCTGGTGTTTGCGACAGTGGAGCTACCCCACTTACATTGGTAGCGGAGCTGCATTTTGCAGCATCCAGGCGAAGACACCATGAGCGAGACTTCTGGTGGCGAAAAGAGTGATCAACAGATCACGAATCAGTTGGCATCCCTAGTGCCGAGTTTTGACCCAGCAAAGGATGACATGCAGACCTACAAGCAGAAGGTAGAGATAGTTCTGGGTGCGTGGCCCAAATCTCGCATCACAGAGCTTACAACGAGATTGATACTGAATACACAGGGATCTGCTTTTCAAACTTTACAGTTGCATCATGCCGAACTCATGGTCAATGAGGAGAAATCAGTGACTCGCTTGGTGGAGTTGTTGGGGGGACAGTGGGGCCGCATAGGCCTTGAACAACAGTACCAGGATGTGGAGAACGCCCTTTACCATACAACACAGAGAGCTGATGAATCTCATGACTCCTTTTTGGCGAGGGCCGATGTTTTGTGGTCCAAAGCAGTGTCTAGGAAACTGTCATTGTCCGATCTACAGGCTTTTGTGACTCTTCGAGGGTCGCTTCTTTCACCAGAAGAAAAGAAGCGTGTGATCCTAGATGCCGATCAAAGTCTGGAAGGCAAACTGACAGTGCCTCGAGTCCGAGAGGCCATTAGACTGTTGGGGGCAACGTTCTTTGCCGCCATGACTGGACAGAAGACCACAGCAAGAAACAAGGTTTATGATGCAACAACTATGCATGTGGAACATCAGGATGAGGTCAATGTAACTGATGGCATGATCGCCACAGATGATGTTGGCACGGAAGAGGACTTCATCGAAGCCTTGGTAATGGAAGGTGAAGACGAAGACGCAGTACTGGTGGCCGATTTTGAGGCCTTAGCAGCTGACACAATCCAAGAGGACAGTGAACTAGCTCAGGCATTCAATGCCTACAGTGATGCCCATCGTCGCCTTTCAGAAAAGTTTCGCAACCGAGGTTTCTGGCCGACATCGAAAGGTTCCTCTCATGTCAAGGGGAAGGGATTTGGGGGCAAGTTCAATGGTCAACGAGGCAAAGGAGGTTACAATCCACCTCGTCAGCGCAAGTCACTGCAAGATCGTATCATGCAGAGTAACTGTCGAGCATGTGGCCGAAAAGGCCATTGGAAGGCTGAGTGTCCATTCAAGTCTACGGCACCATCGACGACAAGCCAAGCTTCGTCGACAGCCCCAACATCGACGGTGATCATCGAGCAGGACGTCCTGCCCGTGGAGTTTCTGAACTTGCCGCAGTTGCCAACTGAAGCCTCATGTCCGATTCCAGAGGAGCCCAAACCAGGGATCACCCACAATGGGGAAGTTTGTTTTTTTCTTACTGGGGTAGTTAATCATGATAACACTGCCAGGATGAGATTAAGGGATAGTCTTAAACATTACCGGGACAGGATTCAACATGAATCTAGGGTAAGTAATGAGACTCAAGCCTTAACCAACAACCGAAATCGAATGAGAGCCTGGATCCGCAGGAGTGAAAGCCAGCTCAGCCCATGTGAGCCTCCGAGCCGTTTTCCCAATGCCCGCTCCTTGCGCCCAGGGAATGCCGATGTAACTGACAATCAACCTTTAGTTGACATGTCTTGCAAAGCACAGACACATGCACCGACTGAACCAGAAGCTCAGGTGTGTTTTGCTACCCATGGTACGATGGCAATCCTGGATTCCGGAGCTTCCAAGACTGTAGTAGGTAGCAACCAGTTGTCCAGCCTGCTCCAGAATTTTGAACCATCACTGAGAAGCCAGCTCCGTCGAAGCCCATGCAGTATAACCTTTCGGTTTGGTAACCAGGGAACCCTTCAAAGTAAGGAAGCCTTAATAGTACCTTTAGGTCAACTGCAATTGCGCATAGCCATTGTACCAGGTGATACTCCCTTTCTACTGAGTAACACTCTTTTGAGAGCCTTGCAAGCCAAAGTAGACTGTGTGGGACATGTTCTCGAAAGCCCGTTGCTTGTACAGCCAGTACGTTTGCAATTGTCCTCAAAGGGTTTGTTCATGGTAGATCTCAATGAACTGGCCACCCAAGCATGTCAAGCGCTGCAAGTCCAGCGTGTTCCGAAGCGACACGCCATGCCGACCGATACTTTTGTGTCCGAAGGTCAGGAAAAGAAGCAAACCACTGTTGGATCCAGCAGCCAAGTCACGAACAGTTTTGCAAGGGGTGGTAATCAGATCCAAGGACTAGGACAGGTCCACATGCCAGTCTCATCATTCGAGGTCCCAGGTGTAGAACAGGTCAATTCACCAAGAAGTGCCTTCGGAGCTCAGCAGCAATCATCCACATTTCAGAAGGAGTCAGCGGAAATCCAGGTTCAAGAAACCACCACGACCGTGACTCAGCCCGACGTTTGCAGTGATCATGGCAATGTCCACCCTGGCTCAGAGGCTGAACCGTCTTCAGACGCCAGTACAGGTGGAAGTAGAAGACCTGAGTCACCTGAGCCTGGAGGAACTCTCCGGAGAGACTCTGGCATTTGGCCAGAAACACCACGGCAAGACCTTTGCCGAAGCATGGATGGACCAAGAATGGGTGCGGTTCATGGTCACCCGATACTCCCAGAGTACCAAAAGTGCCCATCGCAGATTCCTGCGATACGTGGAATTGAAACTGGACCAACACGAGCAACAGCAGACCGGAATTCCAGTGATTCCAACAGACAGTGTGCCGGTGGAGCCCTTGCAACACACGGCCAAAGCCAAAACAGCCGCCAAGGCCAAGGCCAAAGGAATGGCATCGGCCACCCCAGTGTACCTCCCAGACATGGAGGGCGAGTGGGCTATGGAACCAGGCCCGTATCCATCCACGACTATGACCTCAAGCTCAATGCCGACGGAAGTGTGTGCACTGCAGCAACGTATGCTGAACATGGAGAATGCCATGATACGGATCATGCATCATCTGGAGAGCCAAGCCAATGCAGTGCAGGTGCCAGAGACCACAGTCTCCGACCAAGACTGAGTGAGGACTGGTCAGCCGAGATCAACACCATGATTAGCCAAGATAACCAGAAATTGAAACAATTGATTCAATCTTTTGAGACCGAGTTGCAACAGGCCAGCCAAAGTAATCAGCCCATAGGTAAGCCATGTGCATTGGTAGAAGTTTTCTGTAGCGCCAATTCACCACTGACCCATCAGATGCAACAACAACATGAGACGGCTTACCGTTTTGGCTACGCCCAAGGAGACCTGGCAACAAGTGAGGGTAGATTCAGACTTTTCGGACTGATTGCACGCCACCGACCCCTGGATATCTGGGTCAGCCCTGATTGCGGACCCTGGTCATCCTGGTCTCAGTTGAATGCATCAAGATCCATGGAACACCAACATCACTATGAGCAAGTCCGAAAGGAGCTACTCTATCAAATTGCCATTTGCATTGTTTTGTTCCGATATCAGTTGGAAAATCACCGACACTTCCATTGGGAACAACCAGCAAAGTCACTCATGTTTGCACATCCAGGACTAGCTGAGGTACACCAACAGACCTATGCTTGCCAGTTTGACATGTGTACAGCCGGAGCTTTAAGAGATCCTCAGAATGGTTTGTTCATGAAAAAGGGAATGACCATCTTAACTACTCGAAAACATGTCTATTCACACTTGCATGGGATGACGTGCAAATTAACATCAACATGTCCATCAACCAATGGAAGGAAGCCTAATGACATCTCAGGGGTCGATGCTCAGAACCAAGTTTTCAGCAATTTATCCAAGAAAGTTTGCCAGAACCGTCGTTCGTTTGCTCCGACAGGATGACACCAGCGTGTTTGCAGCATTAGCCCGGCGACAGAGACCCAATTTTGTCCGTTCCGAACTGGTGACTCCCGAGAGCCGACCAGAGCAAGAAGCCAAGAGGCGTCGACTGGATGGCAAGCAAAGCTGCCCACCATGTCTTGAACAATTTCAGGCCTTGATGAAATCCGTTGATAATCAGCTAAAAAGGGTAGGCAAGCAAGAACTTGACCAACCCTCCATATGCCAAATGATTCAAGAACTACTGCCTGACAAAACCGTTGTTCGAATCATAGCCTGTCGCGGCACTGACCGAACCCTAGGTCCACCAACGGATCTCATGGGAGATGAAGCACCATTCCGCAGAACCATCATGCTGCACAGGGGATCACAAGATATCAAGTATGAACGGTATTGGGAAAGATGGACTTCCTTATCTAATAGGCAATTAGTAAGGCCAGCTCACCCATGTCGCATCAACATAACCGTTTTTGCCAAAGATCCCTCAGCCAAGGCTTCTAGCTCTAGCTCACCACCAGAGAATGTACCTCTGCCGCAGCCTCTAGTAAGCCCAGCTGTCATGCATGAAAATCCACCGGTGCCAGAAAGTGACAGGTCAGCATCCGACACCACGACAGAGGTAAAAGCCTCTGAACCTGAGGCACCTGACAATCAAATGCAAACCAGACTCAAGGATCAGTCTTTTCGTTTCCGTAGCTTGCCAAAGTGGGAACAACAGCAGATAATCCATATGCACAAGAATCTGGGGCATCCCTCCAATGATCGACTGTCCAGAGCATTGCAATCAGCAGGATATCGGCCAGATGTCTCACAAGCTGCCCTGGAACTGAAGTGCCCAGTATGCGCCAAGTGCTCTCCGCCGAAGCATCAGAGACCAGCCACATTGAAACCAATGCTTGATTTCAATCATCGGATCTACTTAGATGGGGTAAATTGGACTAATTCTCAAGGTAAGTCTCTTCAGTTTTATCACATTGTAGACGCCGGGTCAAACTTCCATGTTGCCATTGCCACTCCTGCAAAGACAACACAGGACATAATCAACATCATCAGTCAGCACTGGATGAGTTGGGCAGGTCCTCCCACAGAGCTTCAGGTGGATTCAGGCACAGAGCTGAACAGCGAAGAGTTTGCCGCCTTTCTCCAGCGATTTGGTATCAGGGGAAACACCACATGTCCGATGGCCCACTGGCAGAACGGCAAAGTGGAACGTCATGGAAGGTTTCTCCAACACATGCTCACCAAAATCGATCTTGAGTATCCTATCAACGATTATCATGCACTTCAACTTGCACTCAGCCAGAGTACACATGCAAAGAACAGCTTGAGCATTCGACATGGATATGCCCCAGAAATAATCGTTTTTGGGAAACATTCACGAATTCCTGGATCAATACTGAGTGATGAATCAATTCCATCCCATGAAATAGCATCTCAAGAAGATCATCATGTTGGAGTGTTGGAATTCAAGAATCTACTTAGGATCCGAGAAAGTGCAAGAAAAGCTTTTCATGATGCAGACAACAATGACAGCCTTCGCCGTGCCATCTTGCGCCAAGCGTGTCCACACAGGGGTATGTATGAAAAGGGACAATGGGTAATGATTTGGCGTGGAGAGATTCCCCAGAAAGCTGGCTGGATTGGCCCCCAAAGAGTCATCATCCAGGATAGTCACCACACTGTATGGACCACCCAGTGCGCCAAACTTTACCGTAGTGCCCCTGAACACGTGCGTCCGGTGCTGAGCCAAGAGATGACGGAGTGCCCAGAAACCTGGCCTGACAATCTAACGGAACTTGGTCAACAAATTATCAATATCAATAACAGAAGATCACTTGACCCCACCACAGAAAATGTTGAAATACCCCCGGAAAATAACATTGAAGCCAATCCAGATAACCCTAACTCTCACCATAACAATGAAGTTCCCGAGAATGAAACCATGAGTGAGGATTCCAATGTAACCCCACAATCACCACGTTCACCGCAACAGCCCGATCAAGAGCCAGATCTTTCTCGACCAGGATCAGTCATGCCAGAAGTGATGGACCAATCGGACCAGTCATCAACCACCGAGACCCTGACTTGCGTCGATGTGGATTGGTGTCTTGTGGCCAATGATCATCAGGACGCAGCATGGCGATGTGAGTTTGATGTACCTCTCTCCGACCACCAAGGGTTGCCTGAGGATCAAGAAGAAGCCTGGAGCCTGTTGGCTACAAATGCCAAGAAACAACGCTCTGAAGTTCGCCTGACAGAACTTTCACCTGAGGAAAAGGAAGAGTTCCAAAAGGCCAAAATGGCAGAAGTTCAGAGCTGGGTCCAAACTGGGACTGTCTCGAAGGTGCTTCGAAATCAGATCCCTGAGGATCAAATACTCCGTTGCCGCTGGATACTGACCTGGAAACCTCTGGATAACATCAGTGAGGCCTCTGGTAGCATGACACAAAAGCCTGTCAAGACCCACAAAGCAAAGGCCCGACTAGTAGTACTAGGTTACTTGGACCCGAACCTGGAAGAGATCCCGAGGGATTCACCTACTCTCAATCGAACATCCAGAATGATTCTTCTTCAGGTCATAGCCAGCTGTGGGTGGCAGCTTCAATCGTTTGACGTGAAGGCCGCATTCCTTCAGGGTCAGCCACAGTCCGACCGTGTCATGGCAGTGGATCCAGTTCCAGAGCTTAGACAAATCATGAACCTTGGTCCCCAACATGTTGCCAAGTTGAACAAAAGTGCTTATGGGTTGGTGGATGCTCCCTTTTTATGGTTTTGTTCTCTCGTAACTGAGTTAACCAAATTGGGATTTGAAACCTCACCGTTCGATCCATGCCTCTTTGTCTTACGGGAACCAGCCACAAGCAGCCGAGCCGGCCAAATTGCAGGCATTCTTGGCGTGCATGTTGACGATGGGATTGGTGGAGGTAATGCCCTTTATGAAGCAAAGATCAGGGAACTAGAGAAAAAGTTCAAATTTGGATCCCACAAGACTCATGCTTTCACCTTCACTGGGGTTGAAGTCACTCAAAGAGGGGATAACAGTATCCATTTGAGCCAAAGCCAATACATCAAGAAAATCAAACCCATTTCCTTGGACTGCAATCGTAAGACCCAATATGAATCACCGGTAACCGAAGAGGAAAGACTTGCGCTAAGGGGAATAGTGGGAAGCTTACAGTATGCCGCAACCAATACACGCCCTGACCTTGCCAGCAAATTATCCTTTCTACAGTCCTCCATCAACACCGCCAAAGTTGAAACACTACATGAAGCCAATAGACTCCTCCACGAAGCAAAGAAACATCATGATGTGGCCATTGTCATCAAACCAATTCCAGTGGAAGACTTCCGATTCATGGCTTTCAGTGACGCATCGTTCTCATCCGCAAAGAAGCCTGACTCCCATGCTGGTTTAATTATAGTTGGTACCCATAAAGATGTAGCCCTGAACAAGCAATGCCCCATTAGTCCTGTTTCCTGGGGATGTAAGAAGATTCAACGGGTTGTAACCAGTACCTTGGCAGCAGAGACAACAGCCCTTGCCTCTGCGGTAGATCAATTAGCCTGGTTGAGACTGTTCTGGTCTTGGATCCATGAACCTAAAACAAACTGGAAAGAACCTGAGACCGCACTCATGAAAATTGCACCAGCTATTACCACCGCCACTTTCAGAGAACATGCCGACTTAGCAATCACGGACTGCAAAAGCCTTTTTGATCTCACGACGAGAACAGCGCCACCATCTTGTGCTGAGTTCCGGGTTCAATTAGCTGCCCGAGCAGTTAAAGAAGCCCTCCTCGAAGGCATCCAATTGCGTTGGGTCCACTCCGGTGCTCAGTTGGCAGACTGTTTAACCAAAGCGACGGAAAGCTATTTTCTCCGTGAAACTTTAAGATTAGGCTGTTATAAACTCAGTGATGAAACTGCTATCCTCAAAGAGAGAGCCAAGACCAAAGACAGGATTCGATGGCTGAAAGGCCAAGATCATCAGCAATCAACTTCACAGTCAGAAAAAGAAAATTTGGGAGTGTGATTCTCAAACCAGTAGCTGATGATAACAACAACAATAACCCTGTCAATAGATTCCTTTCACTCTCATAAAACCAACAGCCCTGCTATCACTGGAGGTCCTGGAACCATACTTGCAGCCTGCCAGACACGTGGCTCAGGCGAGCTCAGAGGTGGGCGGTGCGGGTATCTTTCGTGTGTCTCCAGCCATAGTGGACTACATAGCGACGGGGTCTCTCAGTGGACGAGGCCGTCCAATCAGAAGCATCCAAAGGCATCCAATCCGAATCTCAGCTGGCAGTGGAGGAAAAGCTGAGCGCTTCAGGTGGAGCTGGTGTTTGCGACAGTGGAGCTACCCCACTTACAGTGTGTGTATAAATATGTATACGCAATATCCCTTTCCAAAGGGTCTGGCATTCCTTTGAGAAGGTAGCCTGCAAGACACACAGCTGTCCGTGTGAAAGAGTATAGTATTGTTTAGGTAAGTTTTTGTGCAAAAAGGAACCCGTTTATATGTACAACAATCCCTTTGAAAGAGGGTGATGTTTCTGCAAGAAAGTGCAGCGCGTGGCCTTTGAAAAAGCATCTTGCAGAAAGTACAGCATTAATTTGAAAGGGCGTTCTTCAATAAGCAGTTGCACTTTGAGAGACCATGGTATTCCTTGCAAACAGTGTAGCATGCCTGTATGCAAGTTCCCTTGGAAAGAATGCAATATATATATATGTGTGTGTGTGTTTTTTCCTGGTGGTACTCCTTGCTCAGAGGAAAACTACACAAACAGAGCCACCACCTCCAGAAAATAGAAAATGAGGCATCCCTCCTCTCGAAAATAAAAAATAAGGCGCCCCCCCCAAAAAAAAAAACAAAAGAAAAAACTACACTCTTCAGTTCAGAGGGGGTCCCCGTGTTGGCGATTGGTTCCTGCATGCCGACACGTGGAAACAGACACAACGAAGTCCGGAGGAAGAAGTTTGATCTCAGGGAAGGGCCGGAAGTGACAGTGAGGAAAACCTCGAAAACACCCCCCCAAAAAAAAAAACTCTTGACTGGCAACCCCTCTGAACTGAAGAGTCTAGAAATATGGTTGTTTTTTTGTTTGTTTTGTTTTTTTCGAAACTCTCATCAATTTCTAGTTCATGCCTTCTGTGGAGGTGCCTTTTGAAGCAAATCCCTCAGAGTGCAACCTTTGAAGCAGTTTGAAAACACTCAATTTTACTACTGGGAAACCCCTGAAAACTGCACTCTGGGGGCGTGCCATTCTGAAAAAAAAACAGATAAACAAAAACCTGGGACTGATCAAGCCATCAAGCTCGCTTCTTAGACAGTGTCAATCGACAGAACTGCTCTTTAGTCACCAGGATGTCACCTGGTACTATTTCATCTTTGTGGCAAGTCTAACTGGTCGTTCCTCTGGCCGTGACGTCCTCTGCCTTCCCTCAAGTCCACAATGTCTGTTGGGCCCAGCAATCAACCTACACGCGGTGGAGTGGAGATATCTGAAGGTTCGTCTCCGAGTTGTTGGCGTAATTCTGCCAATTGACGGCGGAGTTGTGCGATCTCGTGCTGGGATTCTGGGTCGGTGGAGCGAAGTGGAAGCCACCCCTGAATGTGCTCTGCAATGATTTGTGCTGCATATTTGGTGTTTGAAGTCTTGTCCAGTGTCTTCCCATCCTGTCTGGCCCTGACCTGGGAGACACGGTCAAGGTCGATCCCTCTATTCCTCAACTGAGAGAATAATTCCGTCGCAAACACCACGGCCACAATATCCCCCGCAGGGATGAGATACAGCTCTCGCCCATGGGCCAGTTTCCACGGCCAATGATTGTTGGCCTGCTGGTAGAGCAAGGCTGCCACTGGAAGAGCAAGAGGATCACACCCTTCAATGCCGAGCTCTTGGGTGAATTCCGATGACCTTATCACTCTTGGGAAGGTCAGGCCGTTGACCTTTTGGTTGTCGTAGTGTTCTCGATCACCCATCCAAGTTTCATTCAAATCGAAGACGGACTTGGTGAGAGTGGGAAGTGGATTGATCCTGTTGGTCATAATGGTCGTAGTGATGCCAACGATCCACTGAGCCATATCTTCCACTGTAGTGTCGATCCTGGTGTTTGTTGGAGTAGTGTGTGGTGAACCACCCCATGCTGATAGTCATCTTGAGAACTGGACTGGCATTGTGATGTCCAGTCTTGGCATTGATCTTTGTAGGGGCTGGACTGTGGTTGACATGTCGAGTCTTGGTAGTGGTCCTTGTGGGAACGTTGTGGATCCGGACAAGCTAATGAAGGTGACCTGGTCCGTGAGCGTAGTCGAAGGGAGGTAGATCTCGTTGAGCGCGAGGCTTGTCGATGTCGGTGTTTTGAATAAGTGGATTTTTCAGGTCGTCGAGGTGGACTGCGAGGGTGGGAAGTGGATCTTTTGTCTGGACGAAAGGATTTGTCTTCACAGGAGTGGCATGGACATGGGATGATTGTGGAGCCATTGGTGGTGGATGTGGTAATTGTGGCGGAGAGACAGGTGGAAGTGGAGCAGGGGTGGAAGTTGATTGGATTCTTGAAAATTTCGAAAAGCGTCGGTCATCTCTTCTTTGAAGTTGTCACGAAGCTTCATCTCGTCTGGATTTACCGAAGGTGGAGTGGAGCTGGTCCCTTCAGGTGAAGCCTTTGGTAGTGGAGGCTCAGGTGATGCTGGAGGTGCGGTTGGAGTAGGTGTTGGTTGGCGAAGAAATTGTTGGAGTTGATGGATGTGGGATGCAGCTTGAGTGGCGAGTTGTTGATTGAGCAGAGCATTCCGCTGTTGCAAGGCTGAAATCTGAGCTTGTGACTGCACCTGTTGTTGCATCTAAGGGCCACCGCACTGAAATGTCCACCCATGCATTGTGCTTGAAGGCCTGGATTTGCCATGGAGGTCCACATTGTTGATGTCATCTAGTCAAGATTTGGTGTAGAAGAGCTCATCCATGGTCGAAACAGCCACGAGAATGGAAACATGGCCGGCTGCAAAATTGCCAGGTTCAAAATTATATAACTAAACAGTTCAAAAAGTACGATGCATCCGTCAACCAATGCAAAGGTTCGTGTTCAGGCTCAAAGGCTCTCCAATTTCAAGTCAAAACCCTCTGGACAGCTTAAGTGTCCAACCCTTCGAATTTGCGCACAACTATAAACCTCACCAACGACCAAAAGGAAAGAGCTGCCATACCTGAAAGCATGGCCTGTGCCTGAAATCCTCATGTTGCAGTTCGTGGAAAAAACGATGGTTCCCACGGTTTCAGAAAAAAGAGTGACAAATGACAGTATTCTGAGCCCGATCAAGGCTGGAAAATGGAGGTTTCACGTCTGACAGTGCAGTTTTGGACTGAAATGAAATGGTGCGGCCAGTCACAGCGGCAAGCTGTTTCACCAAAACGACCGATTGGGTGAAACCCGGAAGAAGGCCAGGAAAAACACAAAATCGAGCAACTACTGCTACCAGGCGCGGATCACTGCAGCTCAGAAGATGACTGCCACGGTGGGAAGTGTCAACGAGCAACTCCCTCGCTGCGACGCCGCAGGGCGGCACGAGCCCGAAAAGAACGAATTGCCACCCCCAACTCTTGGAGGAGAAGGGAGGAGCAAGTTGCAGGGTCCTCCCCTGATTGGGCAACGGCTTGGGCGACGTGCTTCAGCGCAATCATCGCGTCAGCATCCCAAGCACATGTGCTTTCAGCAACCATGGGGATAAAGCAGGCTCCTTGTGCGCGGCACGCCTCTGCAGTTTGAAGGTGTTCTTTTTGCTCGGCATAACCCGCGGCAGCAGCCAAGGGTTTCTGGCTCGCCTGGGCGAGGGTCTCCTGCCGCTGAGGAGCCGCGATGGCGAAATCTAGGGCAGAAGGAGACCCAGCAAAGGCTGGCAAGAAAACATCGGCAGGGCGCCGGCGAGCACTTTTGCGGAAGCAAAAGGCCCGGCCGTTCCCGTTCCGGCCTGAGGCCAGCCCGGTGTGCCCAATCGGACAACATAGTGGCGTTGAGTGCGCTCGCCACCGGCCACACACATCCCCCGCATGGTAGTTGTGGATGTCCAAGACTCCATCACAAAGGGGGCACCACGCATCCGTGTCAGCATCAGGGATCTGCAGCCCTGCTCGAAGTTCGGAAATAAAGGCCGCAGGTTCCATGCGGGTGCGGCCTGAAGGTATGGCAGCAAGAAAAGCCCGGCCTCCAACGGAAGCTTCTGAGAGCAGGGTTGCGCGTCCAGCAATGGTAGCGTTGCCGAGCTGTTCCTGCCAGCCAGCATTGTCCAGCCGCTGGGACAGGGCGTGTTGCTTGCTGGAAAGGATATCGTCCAAGTTGATGTTAGCCGCAGGCTCAAGTTTGGAATTGAAGCAAGCAAGGGCCGCAACAACTTCGGGGCAAGACTTGGCCTCATTGGGGCAGAAGGTGACATCCAGCTCGGGGCCAACCTGGAGGGCAGATGCCCAGGACGCCAGAAAAGCAGCGGAGGCATGGTGTGAAGTGGAACGAAGGCCCAAGCCGCCATGGCCCAGCCCCAGAGCAGCTCGCAAAGCGTTGGGGTGTAGCCCGGTGAAATCCCCGAAGCTACGATGAACATGCCATCGAACATGCGCAAGGCTGCCGTTTGTGGGACGGCAGGGTTGCAACGCATGCTGTGGAGCATACGTGCGAAGCCAGCGCAGGCCCGCAGGAGCCGCAATCCAACTTGGGGGTCTTCCAGCTCACCCAAAGCATCAAGCAAGTCACCAGCTTTGGCGGCCCGTTCCACCGTGTGCGAATGGATGAAGCTATCTTCACCGATGGCAGCCCCCAAGAGCTCTCAAACTTGCGAGCGACGCGGCAGCTTCCATCAGCGTGGGTGCGGAGCAAAGCGGGCCGCAACGTCCAAGCGACAACAGCAATCAGCTCAGATTTGGCGAGGCTCAGGCGGAGCCCAATGTTGGCGGCTCGCGCTTCAACCAGGCGAAGGGCAGCACTGACGGCGTGGAGGTTGCCAGCAAGGACCCCATCATCCAGGTAGTGCACAGCGATGTCCAGCCCTGCATTGCGAAAGCAGCTGCAAAAGGAGCGGCCCAAGAGGATCGCCTTGTTGGACCCCGGTGCAGGATTCAACAACCCAGTCATCAAATTGCAGCCTGGTAGGCTGCTGGTAACACCAAGTTGCCCACCGCGCCAGAGCTGGAAAAGGGTCCCGAATGGCAGAAAGAACGGCATCGCGACTCACAGTGTTGAAAGCATTGGTGAAGTCAAGCTTGAGGGCCACCTTGTCGGATGAGGTCTGGCGTCTTCGGTGCATTTCGGTGCCAAGCACGCACCGTGTGAATTGCTTTTTCAGCACCCCCCGAAACAGCAAGAAGGACTGGGCATCATGCCGCACCAAGCCCATCAGGCACTTGCCAGTCAGCCTACGCAGGATCTCCCCAACTGCTATTGGCCGAACCCCGCCCTCAGGTTTACGGACGACAACAAGCCCCGCGCCGGCCAAGACCGGGGCTAAGAAGTCTGGGGGCTCTTCCTTGAGCTAGCAAGTTCACAACAGCGGTGAGCTGGGAGAGGAAAGCCCCTCACGGGCCAAGCCAGTGGCCAAAGCCTTTCGTTGTTCAGGCTCAAGCATTCCACGCCTCCGCTGCAATGCCATAGGGAGTCCCAAAGGGATAGCCTTTCCCCCTCCTGCCAACGGTGCAAGCGGTCCAAGGTGTATGCCGCTGTGGCTTTTCGATGTTGCCTGCCGCCTTGGGTGGGGACGCAAAGGACACACTTAGGGAGCATGCAAAGTTCACGCCAAGCCTTGTCATCATTGCGATGGGCGACAGTAGCCAAGGCCCGAGTCAAGACTGAGCCCAAGCATGGCGAGTGGGATGCCGCAGGGTAGTCTTGGAGGTTGGATGGCTGAAAGGGATGGGAGTTGCAAGCCGTCGGTGTCCATTGGGATGGCAGCGTCCACTGCGGCTGCCCGAGCCTCTGGCCTGCAAGTTGGGTGGACCCCGTGGGCTTGAGAAAAATTGAGACCGCAAACAAGACAATGGAGCCAGGCAATTGGCACATCCCCTTGCAAGGAGCCAGCAAGGTGCGCGTTGATGTGGGACTTCATCGTTGCAACCGTGGCCCAGCCCCCCCGAGCTGGGTCAGAGCAGGGGCAAGTTGGAACCGGACAGAACACCCGTGGAGGTTGTGACTGTCGAGGTGGTGACCTGTCCCGCCCCACAAGTGGCCTCCCATGCGCTGCCCTCGTTGGGGGCACGCGGTCCAGGCCTGACGCCGCTGCGGACGAGGACAGGCTGTTCGACGGTGCCAGCGGACAGGCAAACGACGCCAAGGCAGCAGCTGGTCCCACACAACATGTTTGGTTGTTCAGTGTCTGTGTGGCCGCGAGTCTTTGCCTCCGGTTGAGGGGCTGGAAGATGAACAAGGGCAGGCTGCAGTGCTGGGAAGTGGCTGGGACCACCACAAGCTGGAAGGCTGAAGTCTGAGGACGAGGATGGGCACAAAGAGACGCCAAGCCAGCCGAAGGAGAAGCCCAAGTGACAGCGCCATGTGCGCCTTGTGGAGAACTGCAGGGGGTCCCCGCCCGACCGAGCCGGCACACCAGAGGTCCTAAGACGTGGGACCAAGTACAAGGCACGGAGGGGGCCCCGCTGCAGCCACCAGCAGGGGCCAGCAGGTGAAAGGCAGCTGGGCTATATAATGAGTGAGAAAAGTTGGAAATTTCGACAGGCCGGTTCTTGGCTTAGCCGGTCGCCATTCACGGCAAGCGAAGTTCTGCAAGAAATGAGGTTGAAAAAGCAGGTACGTGACTCCAGCGTCCCAGAGCCATATCAGTCATGAATGCAGCCCTCTTCATTGGGCAATCAGCTGCAAACATGAGATTGCCCCCCGGCAATTGAAAGTTGATGAAGACAAAAATTGGAAAAGAGAACCAAAACTCCATCAAGTTAGAAGTTTTAATTTCTTCAGATGGTTCACACACACACACCAAAAAACCACCAGCAATGCAGCATTTGATTGAACAGAACAAGAAAATGGACCACTATCCATTGTTTGTTCCATTCAGTCTGCTGGATAAGGCAACTTGATGCAACAGTGCGCGTGCTGGACTGTACGTGCAAAGTGTGTGTGTGTGTGACCCATATTATATGGCATCTGACATGCACGCAGAACAATTGTCAAATCTTCTTGGTTGTCACTGGTTTCCCCAGTCCGTGCATCAATCAATCTGATTCCAACCGGCTTCGTCGGTAGACTGCGTAGATGGATGTCTAAGGAGTATGTGCACTGCATGCAACTGTAGGGTGAAAGCTTCTGTCAGGCTGCCGAAAATGCTGCGGCGCGAGGTGTGCGAACTCAAGGATATGTCTGACTTCTGTAATGTTTGCACCTTCCAACTGTTGCTCAGTTATTGATGTTCTTTGATGTTCTTTGATGTTCTTTGACTCTTTGAGATGCTTCAGTTATTTCGGTCAAGATTTCCAACCTCTTTTTGATCAGTTGACGCCTGTCTTGGCTCGCGCTCACGGCGCTTTCTAGCATTGATTCACCTAAGGTGTGAAACGGAGTCGCGTCGGGTGATGTCGACCTGCGAACACACAGAAATTCAACGTATCCGACGTATCCCTTCCAAAGGCCTTCCAACGTAAACTGCTTCTGTTGTTTCTTAATGTTTCTTAGAGATGGGAATTTGTTTAGCCTTGTAAACTGCTTCGCAAAAATTCCCGAACCTCTTTACCCCTGGGGCACTACTGAGTGCTAGTCTGCTAGTCACTGATGGCTCTTTTACATCGGGCTGCCAGCTGCAAACTTCACGAAAACAAAACTATAAACATGCACATTGAAAATACATTGAATATAAATTGAATATATTCCGAAATCTGCTTGCCACTGCTTACCATGATATGGCATGAGCTGTGTCCACAAACCACTATACCCATCGCCTTCAGCGTGGACTTCCTGCCAGTGGCCAAAAGTGGCCAAAAGTGGCCAAAGTCCGTGGCCAAGTCCAAAAACTCTGTGGATCTCAAAACCCAGGTGGAAGCGCAAATTGTGGGGCTGGAGACCATCTGGGAAGCTCCTCTTGATCTGGGAGTTCAATGATGTTATGGTCAACGTATGTCAACGTGATTGCTGATTGCTTAGTCAAGCCTTAAGTGCAACCCCTATGGCTAAATTCACATTGTGTAGACTTGATGTGTTCAGATTTCAATAGGCAAAAAAAGACAATATTGAGGCACAAAGCACGTTGAAGGTTGATCTTAAATGGAAGTCATTGCACCGTTAGTGAATTGCAATATATTGCAAATCATCCCTGCAGAACCACCGACCATTGATATCATTGATATCATTGAATCTATCATTGAATCTATCATTGATATCATTGATATCATTGATATCAGCGATGTTTTGATGTGCTGGAAAACTCGCCGCTTTGAAATCGCACTTGGCCTTGGGAACTTCCTGGCGCAAACTCCTGAGACGTTCACACGAAGCTCAGAGAAGCTCAGAGAAGCTGGGATGTTGAGCACTTTGCCACGAAAGAGAAGAAGTTTCGATAAGTTTCGTACAAAAGAAATGGGGAGATGTTTTTGACAACATTTTGAGTCTTGGAATGTCTTGGAGAGATATTGAGACTGATTTTGTCCCAGAGTTTTTGCTCGGTCCAGCTGAGGTTCAGGCCAAAAGCAGCCTTTTGTATTCAAGTCATCAATCAGAGTGTCAGTTGTTTCCTGCCAAAGGTCAAGCACATCAATTAGATATTCAAGATTATTCAAGCATCATAAAGATCATAAAGTTTCCATAAAGTTGTCATAAAGGCATGACATCATGAAGAACAAACCTTTCAGAACGAACCTTTCCCGGAGAACTACTCACTCCGACCGTCCACGGTAAATTCCTTTGCCATTTGTGGTAACATGTGGTAACATGTGGTAACCCATGAGTTGAGATACTCTTCTCCGCGCAGGACGGTTCAGAAATGCGTTCAGTTGTTCAGAAGTTGTTCATCTTGTTCGTCTTCATCAAAAGGTTGGTCGCGCGGCAGCGGCAGTGCCTGCATCTTCAGCAACTCCCTTCGCTTCTCTTCCACCTCAGTCGACTTCTGACTTTTCACAGATATGCACAGATATGCACAGGCTATGAGAGTCTCAGACAAAGAAAAGATCCACACGACAAGAAAAACGAAATTTGTCACAAGATCCACAAGATTCCACAAGTCACTCTTGGCGTTTTGAAAGATTGCCTGCGAGCGGAAGAGATCCCGTCTGCTTGTAGCCGCTTGCTCTGCTTGTCGCAGCACATCCTGGAAGGGTCGATACGGTCAATACGCATCTCATGCAAATGTGCAGATCAAAATTAGTCCTGTTAAACTTTGCAAGTTGCATCTAGATTCTGATAGTGGGAAAGACTGGGAAAGACTGTGATAAATCGAAGCACTCAAATGTCGCATTCAGTTCAGGGCCAATTTCTGCAAGCATGACTTTTGATTGTTTCGCAGAAAATGTTATGCTGTTTTTCCTGCTGTCCCATCGACTCAGATATAGCGGGGGGGGTTTTCGGAGTCCCCCGGAACCCGGATGAACCGCGTCTGGTGGTAGATGTCGAAGTTCAAACATGTTCAAACATGTTTTGTGAATTTGTTTAACAAAATGTTGAAGAAAAGTTGTTTTCGGCGCTCTGATTCGGAGTGTGCTCCGGCTCCGGCTCCGACCTGCTCGCTGTTCACCTCGACTCGCAGCGTCGAAAACAAGGAGGTCGCCTGGACGAAGTGTGACGACGAGTGAAATGACGAGTGAAACGACGAAAGGACGAAAGTAGGACCACTTGGGAAAGTTGAGAAAGTTGAGGGGCCAATTGAATTGCATTCAAGTTCCACATATCAAACTGTACACAAACATATCAACGAGATTCTATTAGCATTCTTGAATTCAGTCTCATGTCTTTTCGAGATGTTTGGAGCTGCAAGAGATCTGCGAGATCTGTGAGATCTGCATCTTTTTCGAAAAGAATCCAAGAAGATACACCAAGATGATCCAAGATGGTCCAAGATGGTTCCAAAGTTTTACATTGCATATTCATCATATTTCATTCATATCTCATTATTCTCATTCATATGTCTGCATTTGTTCCATATTTGTTCCATATTTCGTCGGAATTTCTTCCATACATCGTACATCGGAACATGTGGAGCCTCTTCGAGGTCTTGCTTGCTGCTCTCCGCGCGGGCCTCGCCAGGTAGAGCCCCGCGCACTGCGCAACATATGCTACAACATACGGTAGAAGTTCTGATAACAATATATATATATATACGTGATATATATATATATAACATATGATAACATGTGGCTCAACATGTGATAACATAGGGTAACATGGTATAATTTGCTCAGGATGATACAATACTTTCCTACATTTTCCCATACCTTCCTGCAGTGTAGAGTACTATTGAAGGCTACTCTCGTGGAGTATCCATACTCTGAGAGTACCGCTATGTGCATTTGGAGTTGCTCAAACGTGTCCTTCTGATTTCTTCGTTTTGTTTATGTTTACTTTCCCGGTTTCATTTCCCGAAACTTGTCTGCTTCACACCAAGCACTTGCCTCAGCGTCGATAAGTTCTGCTTGCAATGCAGACAGTTCCTCCTGTTCCGAATTTAGTCTTTCTTCTGCCTGACGAATTGACAGAAACGTTGAATCATGTTGAATCATGAGGAAATCATGTTGAATCACAGCAAATACTTCCAGGCTCAGTCTCAAAGCCCGCTGAATTTGCAAACAGGCTGGAAGTTGCCACACACTTTCTTAGAGGCATGTAACATGTAGCAAAAAAATGCAGGCTGGTTCGCACTGCAGAACGGCAAGACGAGCGAGGAAAACAACGCGAAAAGCAATGGACTGCTGCAAGGTGATCCAAAGACACAATCACAGAAGGATCTACATATATATATATTATAGAATTATAATTATATATATACATGATATACATGAATTATGCATAGATACACCATGATATACCTAGAGCAGCGATATGCAGCGGTAGCATTCAATCCTTTGCCCAAATCCATCCAGATCCATCCAGATCCATCCAGCTCCGCCTCCCCGTCGTTGGATCCAACGCCTTGCTCCAAGGTCTGCAACTCAGCTCGCAGCTCCTGGACTGCAGAAAAACTTGTTGAAAAATGGTTTAAAATGTTGAAGGGACTTGAAGGCAAAAAAAAACTAGACTGAAGGGACTGAAAAGTGGTTGCGAACATCGGAATCGCCCAGGGCGGAACCAGAGAATCGAATAGAATCGAGACAATCGAGAGGATTGGACAAATTGAACCGAAGGGTCACACTGATGTCGAAGTAGTCCGAAGATGTCCGAAGTCATGTGATGTCTGGCTCCTCCATCTCTTCCAAATATCTTTGCACCGTTGAAAATGGCACCTAAAGGGCGCCACGACGACAGCACACAAGCAGTACAACAAAGTACAAGCTCAACATATCTCAACATGCTGATACAAAGCTACCAGAGCTAGTTACCAGAGCCGACAGTTTTCACGACAGTTACACGACCAAAGTCCATCGATTGCGAGTCGGTCACAGCATGGGACGCCGCATGGGACGCCGCATGGGACGTACCTCGACGTCTCCATACATCGCCAGCGTGGCTTCTGCTGTTTCAGGATCCTGGCGCGTGTGTTCAACGAGTCGATGTGTCGATGTGTCGATGTGTCGATGTTGAACATTGTTGAAACGTGTTGAAACTTGATGTTGAAATTGTCAATGTCAGTTGATGTTGTGCCAAACTTCTTCCGAAATTCTTTGTTGATGTTGATGTTCCGAAATTCTTCCGAGGATGTTCCGAAGATGTTCCGAAGATGTTGAATCAGTTGGCTCAGTTGGTTCAGTTGGCTCAGTTAAAGTAGTCTGGCTACACTTCAAAGCTTCTCAGGTCTGTTGGACTTCCCACTGTAGATTTTTCAGATCTCTAAGTCCATTTCTGAAGTTTTTTCTTTGGGAGCCTTGAAGCGACTTGCAGCCTTCCGAATGTCGTTTCAATAGCTTAGCTGGAGTCACAAACCCTAAATTGCCAGCAAATGTGTTTCCCTATTTGAAGCAAAATCCAGATGTGACCAATACAGGCCACAACGTGATCTCTGACTTTTCCTATCTTTTCTTGCTGTCTGCATCCTCTCTACGTTACACTCTGCGCTGAAAGTGTCGCTACCATCTGCACCGTACCACATGTACCACATGTACCGTGAAAGTATCACTGTTGCTATGTACTGTTGTGAAAGTGCTATCTGTTGCTATCTGTTGCATTACTTGTTGTTGCAGCACTGTTGTTGCAGTACTGTTACAGCTAACTGTTGTGTTGCAGCCGAGTCTTCTGCGCCTGCTCGAGTAGCGGAGGCACTCCGCATGCAGCGGCACGTTCTGCCACCTGCGTCCGTTTTGAAGACAAAGTGAGACACAAAAACGGAAAAGTGAGAAAAAAAACAGTGAGAAACAGCGGTTTGAAGAGTGCGATTCTACAAAAAAACTCAATGTATAAAGAATTATAAAGAATTATAAGCTTGCATGAAGAGAACTGCCTGATGTTTTCCATTTTGCTTTATGTACATAATTAATGTATATATACTGTATAACTGTATAACCACTCACTGTTGAGACATGTTGAGACACTTCCATAAATGCACCATGATTTTACACGGGGAAATTCAAGAACTTGTTGAGGATGTCATTGCATGTCATTGCATGTCATTGCATGTCATTGCATGTCATTGCCTGTCATTGCATGTCATTGCATGTCATTGCTATCTGCTCGACATTTGCTAAAGGTAAATGCAGAACTTGGCGCACATACGAAAATTGACTCGTGAATGGCTAAGAGTGTCAATGTCAATGTCAATGTGTTTTTCTCTGTGTCAGACTTGTCACCAGTCTGCTCGAAATAGAGTGGGAGCCATGAAGAGCCTATGACTCTGAGACAGACTCCAATGACTCATCAATTCGACTCGTCATGACTAGATTCAAAGGCGTCTCACTCGTCAATGGACTCATCACAGCGCAATCGACTCCGATGCGACTCCGATGCGACCCGTCGCTTCCGCCGATCGATGCCATCGCCTCTGCCAGTTGAGCCTCCAAGAGCTGCCTCGACATCGAAACGATCGAAACGATCGACACGATCGACACGATCGACACGGCAGCTGTCGGCTCAAACAGCTATCGAACAGGTTTCGATCTGTTTCGTGAGGGAAATCCACAGAACTTCGAGTCCGAAACAAACGACACAATGCAATGATCGAAAACGACTCCAAAACGTCAGTTTCTTCAACTGAAACATCAAGATTTGAGGTTCACAAAAGTCTTTTTCATGTTAAATTGTGCGTTTTTTTGAGTTGCAAGATGTGTCAAAAATTCAAATGTTCGCAACTGAGTGCGAATCCAAAACACATCTGATATCATCTGATAGCATGGCAAACTCATGCAGCCCGTCTCTCGTCTCCGGTTTTTCCATGCATTCAACTCCGTCTGATTCAAACATTTCAAATATTTGAATGGATCTGTTGCAACCGCTTCTGTGCTTCCCACCACCAAGGAAAACAAAATGGACAGAACGATATGGGTACAATGTGGTACTATCATCAGTACTATATAAATTATATAAATATTGCAAAAACAATGTCTAGACATGTCTAGACATGTCTAGACTGGCCAAGGAAACCAAGGAAAGCGGATGTGGACGCCTTTCAGATTCTTCGCGTTCGATTTCTTTCATGTCCTCGCCACGTGGGTGAGTCACTCTGAGTGGATTCAGTGGATCCATTTCCTTCCTGGAGGTCTCTTCACTATGTCCAGTGAGAAATGTAAGACATGTAATAAGATAACATAAGATAACAATTTAATACAATCTAAGAGACATGTAAGAGACGTGTAAGAGAACCTCTAGAATGAAAGCAGAGGCAGAGACAAGCAGAGATGCCTCTGTAATATCTGTAACAATCTGTAATGTAATTTGAAAAACCCGGTCGGAGCCTTCCCTCCAGCAAATGCCATCACCACATCGGTGGACTGCAACGATTTCGGCACAAATCATGCGTTCGTTTAAACATGTTTAAACATGTTTGACCATTTCGTAAACATTTCGTAAACCAGACATGTCATGACCGGACTGTCACATCCGAATGCCACAGAAACAGTTTTCACAATTTTTCCATCTGAAACCATGGATAGTCGATGGGTCCTTTTGCCGGGGTGACCTGACGCCTCCCTTACACTCTTGGGATATCTTGGGATATCTTGGGATCAAGTCTACTGCGAAATCTGCTGGTGGCTGGCGTTGGGAGGCACCGTGTCGGCTGCGAAAGTCCCCTTGTAGATGATATGGTTTTACATGTTTTACGGTTTTACCAATCCTTGGCTCGGGATTCCTTCAGCAAATATAATTTCAACTAAAGGATCGTGCAAGTCATGCAATCTCCGGCAAAAATAGCCTAGGTCAAGCAAACAATCATGGACAAGCCAAGACTTCATTCGTTGGATGCTTGTAGCTAAGCGACTTGTCGAAGGTGTTAAAGTTCCAAAAAAAACGACAAGTTGTGACACAAGTAATCCTTACGATGACCTCCAGAAAAACTTCCGGATCTCAGTTTAAGAGCCTTCAAGAGCTTTCAAGAACCTTCAAGAGCCTTCAAGAGCCTTCAAGAGCATCTGTGCACCATCTGTGCACTTCTCATCACTCATTCATTTCTGGCACCTTAGAGGCTCTAGTTCTAGCTGCTAGTCATTCGATCTCGGCACAGATCAAGAGTTTTCAGACCCCTCCTGCAATAGACTCCTTGTTTTCACTGTCCCAAGCTGCGCAGAATCAAGCTGTTTTTTTTCTAAAGCCCAGGACTTGGAAATGCGCATAGCTAGGACAGCTATGAGTGTTTGTGTCTTCTATTCTTTTGCTTCAGAAAGCTTCATGGCTTCCTAGTTTCTTTATACTTTTTTCCTATACCTTCTATATCCTTCTATCATCTTTTATCTCTATACTGTCTATACTTGATCTTTGTACTTGTGCCTTTCTATAACCTCTTCTATACCTTTTCTATACCTTTTCTATCACCTTTTCCTTTCTTCTATATCGCTTTCAATATATTTCCTTTCGTATTTTGTCGCAACGTGCGCCTGACGCCATGTCTTGACGCGCTCTCGCTGCAGCTCGGCCTGCAGTCGCGCCTGCGACACGTCCCGACACGTCCCGACACGGCACGGAGCGATCTTCGGCGACGCCAAAATAGCAGAGGCATCCGAGAAATGTCTGTCCGAAATGTGTCCGAGATGTCCGAAATGTTTCCGTTAACACAACATGTTGACATGTTATGACATATTATGTTATGTTGATATTATGTTATGTTGATATGTTTTGATATGTTATACATGAACTCAGAACTTTCCAAGATGAGAATCAACACAACTGTACACAACTGTTGTCCATTATTGTACATTGTTCGAGAATTCAAGTACAGTTGTACAAGTTGAACTCAACTCGTGTTGTTTTCAACTCGGACTCCAAGTGACCCGTGAAACGCCCCGAAAGTGCGGAAAGTGCGGCACCGCTCCTGTGTTTCGGAGGCCTCATGGAGCTGATCCACAAGGTTCACCTGGACTCAAAACGCGTTAGGTAAACAATGCTGAAACAATGTAAAGTTATAGAAATGTCATATAAAATTCATGGTAAATACTTGCTTCCAAGTGTATCATAAGAATATGTTAACATATATATTTACATAAGTTAAATACTAGTTAAATACTGTGATACTGTGTTTGAAATTGTTTGAATATGTTTGAATGTTCAATTCTTTCAAGGTTCACTCAGACATTAAACTCTCACTGAAAAGGGGAGCAGGACAGGTGGCAGAAATTCAACGACTCGGACGTTTAAAAGTCTTTGCACATCTTGGAACTTTCTGGGATGTAAGATGATGTAAGGTTTCAAGATTTCAAGACCTCATGCCACTGGGACTATCTTCTCAAGTTTCTGAACTTCTTACAACTTCAAGACCAATGTAATCAATGTAATATCCGTTAAATACAGCTCGGACGGCTGATATGAATGCTTCCAGCCTTTGGCTGGTATAGGTTTCTTGAGTTGTTCAATGGCGTTCAATGTTGTTGAATGTCGTTGAATGTCATTGAATTCCGACATAATGTTTAACACAATCGAATATCGAATAGAATTGACTGAATCAAAATGACGTCCATGACGTCCACGACGTCTATGACGTCTATGACGTCTATGTTCCATGTTCGTTCCTCGTTCTCTCGTTCTCTCCTGGTCCGACCTGGCAGTCGCTCACCTCCCAGATCTCTGCCTGGCCGACCCTACTGACTCGACAAGCTGCGGAGAGAGTCAAAGTTTGAGTCAAAGAGTTTCGATTGAATTTCGACAAAGTTGAGTCTATGAGAGAGTCAATTTGACAAATTCGATATGTTCTAATTCCAACTTTGCAATGTTTCCACTGAGTCATCGAAATGAAGACGCGCAACCAGCAACAGGCACCTGCAGTTCAGCAGCATGAGCGTTCAGTTCTCGTATACCTGAGATATGAGAGAGGAAAACAGTATGTTCTACAGTATGGTTTAAATATGTATTTAGTATATTTAATCATATTTAATCTGTATTGAGAAACGTCGAATTTCAAATGCTCGAACAACGCAGACCTCAGCATGCAGCCAAAGGTCAAGCTCTAAATGTGTTACGTTCCCAACAGGTCTAGCTCCATTGCTTGGGGGATCTTGGGGTTTGATAGGTCAAGATCCAGAGCGTTGCCGGAAGATCTGTGTCAGATGTGTTTGGGAGTGGGTTGAAATGAATAAATCTGAATAAACTCGAACATGATGGAAGACTGTCATTGACTGCCACTCACATTTTACGTCGGGCAGTCTTCAAGACGTTTCTCATGGTTTTATCAAGTCTTATCACATGGCTTTATCACATGGCTTTGTCACATGGCTTCCGTTGGGTTTCCGTTGGGTTTCCGTTGGGTTTCACATGGTCCATGTGGCCTTGGCTCGGCTGCAACATTTTCCATGGAGTCCACCGCTGCCAAGACAACTCCAATCGTTTATTTCACGACCGTCTGTCGAAATGGCTTAATTTGTGCATGTCCAATAGGTGTGATATACTTTGATCATACTTTGCGTGACACATTATCACACTTATCCGACCTGTTGAACCTGCTTGACTTTGGTTTCACATGTTTCACATGTTTCACAAACCGTGTTTCACAAACCGTGTTTCACAAACCGTGTTTCACAAAGTGTCAGAACCGCTGTCGCTCTGTGGAACACTCTGTGACTCTGTGGGGCACTCTCTGAGAGGCTGCAGCTGTTGCAACCCACACGCTCTTTGACGTGTCTTAGTTGCCTCCGCAGCTCCTCAGGCAACCGACGCCATGCCGTCAATGCCCAACACATCCGCTGTCTACATTTGATCGGTTTGATTTTTCGATAAAAATGAAAAAGTCACATCTACGTTTGAATCTACGTTTGATCCATGTGAGCTCCGCTCGGCTCATGTGGCTGCCCATGTTGCACTGTGCACTGTGCAAGGTCTTTGATCCGATATGTCGAAAAAAATCGATTATGTTTGGGTTTTTTTCCACACTTCTCCACTCCTCGTTTTCGCTCCGCGCTTCTCGAATCTTCTCTGCCAGAGCTTCTCTTGCACTCGACAACCTCTGCATGAAAGCTGCAGATTCTTGATGCCTCGGTTAAAAAGCAGAAAAAATAAAGAACAAAAACTGTGTGAACAATAAAAACATATAAAAACAATAAAAACAATAGCATGAACCAGTACTCTGTCGTTCTGCAGGGAACGGTACACAAGAATATGTTATGGTTGTTGAATTGGTTCAAATCGGGTCACCGGTCCAGAATTGTTTTGGGTCTGTGGTTTTTCCGTTTTGCTATTTTTCATCGGGGATCTGTTTTTCTGCCCGTTTTCTTTTCTATTTGCAGCATTTTGGAGGTGGAAGCTGCCATTTCAACGGTATTTGCCGCATTTTTAAGTTCGAACCTTTCATTTTCGATGAAATTTGCAACATTTTGTTGCTCGAACTGTTCATGTAACATGGTAGTTTGCAACTAGGGTTCATTTAGGGTTGGTTTTAGGGTTAGTTTAGGGGTTTTGTTTGGTTTTAAGTTTTCTAAGGGTTGGTTTTGCAGTTAGGTTTTACTTAGGTTTTTGAAAGGTTAGTTTAGAATTTGTTTGGGTTTGTTTTAGGTTTTACTTAGGTTTGGCTTAAGATCTATTTATGGTTAGTTTAGGACCTATTTAAGGTTGGCTTAAAGGTTTGTTGAGGGTGTTTAGGATCTATTTTGGTCTGGTTTAAAATCCATTTAGGGTTGGTTTACGGTTTAGGTTTGGGAAAGCAAAGAAGCAAGGAAACAGAAATCAAAAAAAAATGCGCAAAGCGGAAAAAAATATAATTCCCAAATTAAAGGGCCGGATAACCCCACATGTCAACGTCTTCCAATAAGTAGAAAAAGAAAGGTGAAGACGGGATGGGAAGGGCAGGAAAGAGAAAGGAGATGGTGGAGACAGATCGAGTGAGAGAGTTCTGTGTGAGAAGGTTGTGTGTGAGAAACTTTATACTATGCATTCGAAAAAGTATGTGTGAGTTCTGCGGATATGGTGGAAGGCAGGTTGTGTGAAAGAGGTACGTATGAGAGAGTTGCGTGTGAGAGAGTTGCTTGTGAGAAGGTTGTGTGTGAGCAAGTTGTGTGTCAGAAAGTGTGTGTGTGTGTGTTTGTGTGTGTGTGGACCATCTGCACAGATGTAAAACTTCTTTCTGTTTGTTTTGTGCTTTTGTTGTTGGGTCAACATGATTTTCGTTCTATGTATGCAGGGGGATGGAGTGTGCTTCAGATGTCTCCATCCAACGAAGACGCATCTGTTGCACAGTGATATGGATTGGGGACGCTCAATCCACGTACCTGCTCAATCTTTTTCATTTTCGTCAATGGCAACCGGCTAAGCCAAGTACCGGCCTGTCGTTCAAAACTGTTTCAATTTCTGCACTGTTGTCGCAATCTGGCATTTTTATTTTGAGTTCTGTTGCATCAGAACCTTCTTCAGAGCAAGGACGTAGAAAGCATACCTCGAACTGAATTTCACGATGGATCAACCATTTTCTCCTGTCAGACTTTACTGGATTGTTTGTGCACGTTCGATGCATTCCACATCAGTAATTCGAGAAGATATTTCTGAGCAAGTGTGTCACTCATACCGTTGTCCGACAAGGTGGTATGAGCCCTTCGGGGAAAGCCTTTCTAGGCTAACAATTGACGGTAACACGATTTCTGAATTCACACTTTTGAATTAGTAATTCGTTTAAGTAGAGTGAACTGCTGGCCATTTTTCATTGTGTCACACGTCGGTCGAGTGAGTGTTGAAACAGCTTCCCGCTGTCTCTGGGATCACCTCTTTCACCGATATGCATAGCTGGAAGCCACGATAACACTTCCTTTTCCAACTTTGCCCAAGAGAGTACGGAGCTCGATATTTCACTGCATGACATGTGACCATGTGAAGGCATCAGGACATGCTTTAGGTGTGGTTCTTCTTTCTTTTGATGGTCGTTGGTGAGGTTCAATTGTGCACTTAATTCAGGGGTTGACAGCTTATGCCGTTTACAGGGTTTTGACATGAAAGCCGAGGGCCTCTGAGCCTTACCACGATCCTTGCATGAAGTGTGGATGCATCTTGTTTGAACTAATTTGTTACATCGTCTGACAGTGCTGCCATGTTTCCTGGACGGTTTCCCACCGCTTCCGATAACATGTGGACCTTCTGGAACCCACAAGCGATGGGACTTCAAGGCCAATTTGTGGCGGTGATCTTATGAACCAACAGTCACAGGCTCAGCTCCAAGCTCAGACTCAGGCACAACTGGCGGCTCTCAGAGAGCAAAATAACATCTTGAATCAACAAGTGGGAGTACAAGCTCAGACACATATCCAGCACCTTCAACAGCTTCTTCCATTCCATCAATCCACGTTCCATCCACATCCGTCCCAGCCCACAGCTTCAGTGCCTGATCCACCAACACCGGTGGCACCTCAATCCGCACCACCGGCATCCAGTGCATCCTTCAATGCAGAGGAGATGATGCAACAGATGAAGAACACAGTGGAGTCCAGTATGCAAGCGTTTGTGGACAAGACCCAGGAGCGCAATATGAACCAACCTCCTGCTCCGGCTCAACCACCAATTCAAGCTGCTCCACCTACTCCAAGTCATCCTCCTCCACCGGGTGAAGCTCCACCACAGCCACAACACCCTCAACGTCGCTCTCGGTCTCGCTCCCATCGACACCGTGGGGCACCAGACAAACGTCTAGCCTCTGTTCCACGGAGCCCTCGTCGTGCCACACCATTGAGACGAACACATCGTTCCTCTCGACCAAGATCATCACACAGACGACGACACTCAACTTCGAGAGATCCATCAAGACGTCCCAGTCGAGCTTCTTCTGTCCATTTGCGATCAGCCTCTCCACGTCGACGAGAAGTACGGCCAGACAAAGATGATGACTTCTATCGTGAGGCACCCAACCGCGAACCAGCTACACTTCATCCTGCATCGTGGGAACATCACCAATACTATCAGGATCCATCAACCCACAACGAGTACTACCAGAATGAGTACTCATCCTATGACCAACCATCCACCAACAAGTGGAAATCCTGGAGCCAATGGAAGGACGCTTCACAGTCCAAACCTCGTACCCATGCATCGGGGTGGATTGACTATCCTAAGACTTCCTCCAAACATCAACGCTACCATGACTCCTCCTTCAAGTCGTCCAACAAACCTCTCACTGCATTTTCCTCCGACCGTCCACGCCAAAACCCACACAGATCCAGCTCAATCCAATCGCGTGTATCCACCAGTGCCGTCCCTCCTGGACATGTTCCCATCAATCTCCAAGATGGTTCCAAAGAGGAATGGGCTCGTCATGCCGAGCATGCTTTGAATCATCCAGACAGGATGCGAGCTGCCAATGAACTCAAGACAGAAGAGCGTCCTGCGGTGACCAATTTTATGCCACAAGACGAATATGATGCCGCAAAGGAACAGCTCCATAAGGTCGATTCCAGACTCCCAGTGGATGTAGTGGAGAAGGCTATCCAACTATTCTTCAGCACCAACCTTCTTCCGGACTACGACCTCTCCACTTGCTACGTCCGTGAACTTCCCAACACCAGCATGCTTGCACTCATCATGCCATTACCATCAATCAGTCGCTTCTCCATGCCGCCTCCTTTCGGCAATCAACATAACCACACCTGGGCACTTTGTCATGGAACTACCTTCAACTCCGCTCAACTGATCCTCTTGGAGGGTAAGATCCGTCCGGCCAACTGGTCTTACCACAGGAATCCACAAAAGTGCCACCTTCCAACCTTTGGGGCATACTACCTTGGCAGAGAAACCTCCAATGCGGACACGACAATTCCGACCTGGATGGAAACGATCCTCCTTGACTCCATCGAGAACTAGACGACGGTTGGCCCGAGAGCGAAAAAGCCGTTTTTCAAGCAGCTCTGAGTATGGTAGTCGTAAAAAATAGTCGGTGATAGGTTGGTGAATTTTATATGAGCTATGGAGGGGTAAGTTGTGAAAAGTAAGATTGATTAAGAAGAGGATACATGTGACAACCCATGCATATGCACTGTGCTGCTTGGTAAAGGGCATCATATGACACGTGTCTTGCAACCACAGAGAGACATAGATAGAGAGAAAGGGAGAGAGAGAGAGAGAGAGAGGGAGAGAGAGAGAGAGAGAGAGAAGAAAGAGGGAGAGAGAGAGAGAGCAGGGTCTTCTGTTGTTAGTATTGAGACACTATATTGCAAGACAATATATTAAAGATGTATTTTAGGCAGGCGAGACAAGTAGTATCAAGACAATATATTACAAGTACAAAACACTAGTTTGCATCCTATCCTTCGTATTGTTTTTCACACGCAGACGCTTTTGCACAGAAGCTGTTACACACAGACGCATTTACACACAGACGCTTTTACACACAGAAGCGTTTACACACAGACGCTTTTACACACAGAAGCTTTTACACACAGAAGGTTTTACACGCAGACACTAGACACTTTTTTACACATAGGCTTTTACACACAGACGCCTTTACACACAGACACTAGACACTTTTACACGCATAGGCTTTTACACACAGACGCTTTTACACGCAGATGTTTTTAGACACACACACACTTTCACACACAGAAGCTTTTACACACAAACACTTTCACACACAGAGGCTTTTACACAGAGGCTTTTACACACAGACGCTTTTACACAAAGAAGCTTTTACACACAGACTCCTTTACACACAGACGCTTTTACACACACACAGAGACGCGTTTACACACAGAGGCTTTTACACACAGACGCTTTTACACACAGACACTTTTACACGCAGACGCTTTTATACACAGGCGCTTTTACAGGCAGATGCTTTTACACGCAAAGACTTTCACAGACGCGTTTACACACAGACCCTTTTACACACAGACCCTTTTACACACAGACGCTTTTACACACAACACTTTCACACACAGAGGCTTTTACACACAGAAGCTTTTACACACAGAGGCTTTTATACACAGAAGCTTTTACGCACAGACACTTTTACACACAGAAGCTTTTACACACAGGCGCTTTTACACACAGACGCTTTTACACACAG